AGCTATGATGCCATGGGATCAAAGGGATGATCTTGGGTGATAGTTATTTGCCGATCAGAAAATCACTTATGCTTTCATTTCCTAATTTAATCACTGTTTTTTGTGCCCCCGCTATGGGCAAGGTATCAGGGAACCAGTGGCGAGCCCAGGACTCAGAGTTGTGCGATGAAAACTGTGAGGTGATCAGGCAATTCCGTGTAAGACTCAGTTCAGTTCAAGAAACCATGTTCACACAGCTGGCATCTCAGGCAGGTTTCAGGCCCTAGAACTGCTTAGCATGCCCGGGGAAGACCTGCCGTCCTTCACTCATTAACTGGCTCATAGGTCCTGGCCGACCAGATGCTGGCGTGGCCCCCAAAAAGAAAGGCAAAGTTGAGCCTGGGCTGGGCTCAGAAGGGGCTCCTCACATCTCAAGGAGGGCAGCCTGTGTCCAGCACTCTTTGTTTTTTTGTTCGTTTTGGTTTTGTATCAAAGGCATTGAAAGAACAATGCTTTTTAAATTGGGTTGTGCCGAATTCAAATTCCTGATTTGCCACTTATTATACTGGTTGATCTTGGGAAAGTAAACTTCTCTGAACCTCAATTTACTTCTGTGTAAAATGGAGATATAACAGTAGGGATGTCGTGAGAATTAAATGAGATGATTCAAGTAAATTGTGTAGGATCCATTTTTAAAATGTTAACTCATCATGCTATAATCTACAGCAGAGTCTAAATTGAATTAAAAAAAATTTTTTTTATATCCTAAATTGAATTTGACCCAGGGCAGGCTGTCTAGTCCATATCTTCAGGATAACGTTGCCTCCCCTCGGTTACTAACGAGGGTACTAGGAGTTAGATGAGCCACTTAGACAAACTGGGGTTTGGCACTCTTCTGTGGCCCATGCCCTTCTGCGCACATGCCCTTTGTGTAGATGAGTGGTTAAGAGCTGAGAAAACATCTTCATCCCCTCCTTTAGTGAAAGTATAAATAAAGGTAATTACTACCTGTATTTTTTAAACTTTAATTTTTTCATTACATTGCTTGGTCTGTTTTGTTTTTAATTAACATGTATATAGTGTGCAATGCAGTGATGCTAGGTGTGTAATTCTGAGAGGTGGTCTTTTTTCTGTTTTTTAAGAGACAGGGTCTCTGTCACGCAGGCTGGAGTACAGTGGCTACAAGGATTTGTTCTGTGAAGTTTGGATTCTGTCAAAAGGTCAGACTAAAGGATCTAGAAGGCCACATGTGGCCCCAAGGCTACAGGTTCCCCACCCCAGATCATAGCTCACTGCACCTATGAACTGGGCTCAAGTGATCCTCCTGCCTCAGCCTCCGGAGTAGCTGGGACTACAGGTGTCCACGACCACGCCAGGCTAATTTTTTCTATTTTTTGTAGAGATGGGGTCTCACTCTTGCTCAGGCTGATCTCACACTCCTGGCCTCAAGCAGTCCTCCTGCCTCAGCCTCCCAAAGTGCTGGGATAGCAGATGTGAGCCACCATACCCAGCGCAATTCACTGAGTTTTGACAATTGTAGACACACCATGTGTAACCACTGCTCTAATCAAGATACAGAGCATTTTCATTACCCCTGAAGGTTTCCCTGTACCCCCTTCCAATCAGTCCTACTCACCCCAGCCCATCTGTAGGGAACTACTGTTCTGACTTCTATTTTTCTTTCAAGAAAACTGTTAAAACTTTATTGAGATAATTTTAAGTCAAATACCCAATATAACAACAGTCTGCATTGTTTCAGTTTGTCTTCATTTAAGCCTGTGTTTGTCCTTCACCTGCTTCAAGCACTTCGACGGGCTTTAGATTGGGTAGACTCTCCTCTTTGACGTCAGCACCGGGACATTCATCCCCCCCTCTCTGGCTGAGACAGTTCCTGGAGATCAGCTTCCAGGTCAGGCCCTTGCACCTCAGGTGCCCCCGCATGTCTCTTCTGACCAGGAATCACATCCTGAATCCCAGTTGGTGGCTCCTCCAGGGCAGGTTCTTCATCATCGGGCCGTTGGGCAACCACAGGCCCAACCTGCGCTGACAAAATTCTTGGTCATTTTCTTCTTGGTCTAGGCCTGTATGTTGATTGTCCTCGGTGACTCATATTTCTCAACTTAAACTTCTGGGAGGAGTAGTCTGCCGACCTGTTGGCTAAGTCTCAGCCAAAGAGAATGATGATGCGACCTCTCCTTCCACAGCTCTGTCTGATTTCTAATCTTTCAAACTCTTTTTATTCCCCCCAAAACAATCCTATCAGGCAGGTTTTTGTTTTGTTTTGAGACAGAGTTTCGCTCTGTTGCCCGAGCTACAGTGCTGTGGCGTCAGCATTGCTCACAGCAACCTCAAACTCTTGGGCTCAGGCAGTCTTGCTGCATCAGCCTCCCGAGTAGCTGGGACTACAAGCATGTGCCATCATGCCTGGCTAATTTTTTCTATATATATATTAGTCTGCCAGCTAATTTTTTTCTATTTTTAGTAGAGACGGGGTCTTGCTCTTGCTCACCATCCACCTCGGCTCCCAGAGTGCTAGGATTAGAGGCGTGAGCCACTGCGCCTGGCCCCCATCTGGGGTAATTTTTAACCCCATCTGAAAGTGAGATCCCTGAAACATGGAAACACTCAGTAACTCCCCCAAGACCTAGCAAAGGGAAAAGCTAGGACTCGAACCCAGACAATCTAGCTTCTGAGCCAGGCTCCTACCTACTATGCTCTGCTGCCTAATAGCAGCAATATCAGCCATCGTATGTTGGTAAAACACTTCAGTTTACAGAGCACTCTCTCCTGAATTACATCATTAGCTCTTCCCCACACTCCGGTGAGCCCTGGTTGGGAGGACTAGCCCCATTTTATAGATAAGGTGCTAGAGGTCCAGAAAGATTACAGTTTAAGTCCAGAGAACTTAGCTGATGCCCCTAGCTCCTCCCAGGCAGGAGTAGGGAAACAGAAGGAAGGTTAAACAAGGCTCTGTGTGGCTCAGGGTTCCCAGGCAGCACTTTTCCCTTGCGCAAGTAGTATCTGCCTCTCTCCGCACTCTTGGCTGGGCCTTGGTCCTTTTTCGCTTCAGCCAGGCCTGCACTGCCACAGCGGGTGCAGTTAAGGACCGAAAAGTGAGAGGCCCCACCAGGTTCTCTCCTGATTTCTATCTCTATAGATTAGTTATACCTGTTTTGTACTTAAGTAAATGGAATCATGTGCTATGTACTCTGTGTGTGTCTGGATTTCTTCACTTAACATAATGTCTGTGAGATGGCACATCTCTCATCCATGTTATTGCATGTATCTTTCATTGCTTTTTAATGTTTTTAGTCAATATTATTGACAGATAAAATTTATATTCAATAAAATGATATTTTAAATATACAGTTCCATGAGTTAACAGATTTGTACATCTATATAACCAGGACTCCAATCAAGGTATAGAATAATTCTGTCACCTAGGAAGTTCCCTATGTTCTGCTCAAACTTCCCCCTTCCAGAGGCAAACACTGTTACGGTTTTATCACTATAGATTTCACTTTTCCTATTCTTGAATCTCATATAAACACACTGATTATACAGTATGTGTCTCTCACATCTGGTGTCTTTCCTGGAACACAATGTAAGATTTCTCTATTTCATCGTGTCTATCTGTTCTTTATTTTATTTTAAAAAATTGTAACTTTAACAGCTCACACCTTTTTGAGTCTGTTCTTTTTTATTGCTGAATAATATTCCATTGAATAAATATATCATGATCATCCATTCTCCTGTTGATGGACATTTGGGTTGTTTCTGGTTTGGGACTATTATGATTAAATCTGCTATAAATGGACATACATTTCATAACCAGGAGTCATATTGCAGGATCATAGAGTTAGGTGTGTGTTTAACTTCTGGAGAAACTGCTAAACTGTTATATGAAACCATCATGCCAATTTACATTCCCTCCAGAAGTTTATGAGTTGCAGTTGTTCCACATCATTCCTCACACATGATATGTCAGTCTTTAATTTTAGCCTTACTATTAAATAATGTGCAGTGGTACCTCAGTGTGGCTTTTACTTGCATTTTCTTAACTAATGATTTTGAGCACCTTTTTATGTGCTTACTATCCTCTTTGTGAAGTGTCTGTTCAGGTCATTCATACATTTTGACATGATTGTTGCAAATGTGTTCTAGAATAATACACTTTGAACTGAAATCTATATTAGTCTTTTCATCCATGCATTTCAAAATGTTTATTGAGAGTCTACTATGTACCATGAACTTCTCTAGGTTCACTAATCAGCTGTAACCAAGACAGATAATGTCTTTACTCTGAAGTGTTCATATTCTAGTGGGGAGAGACAAAAAATTAACTGGAAACAAGATTTTTGATGATACAGAGATCCTACAACAATAGTAAAACATTGGAAACAAGCTGTATTTCCAAGGAAAGAGAAGGAGGGGACTTAGGTAACATGGTATGAGCTTGATGGACTATTATACTGCCATTACATCGGTAATTATCACATTAAAAATATTCAGCAATATAATTAAAAGGTTGAACTTAGAATTTTGTATGCTTTGCTTAGGACTGTGTAAAATACCCCTGCTATGATGCATATGGACAAAGTCTGGAAGAAACCCGAAGAAAATGAAAACGCGATTGTGTGTTGTATTTATTGGAGTTGTGGAATCATGAGAGTTTAAAGGGCTTTTTATTCATTTTGGTTTTTTTCTTACACTTGTCACGTTCTTAGTAAAAACTGGCATCCTACAGTAATCTCAAGGAACTTTCCTTTGTGTAAAGCTCTACAGTTCGCAGGGACCTATTTAATATGAGACGTGGCAGGTTTAAAAGTTTTGGGATTTCCAGTGTGAAGTAAGGCAATGAAGTGCGAACTGCCAGTTTCACTTTGCAGAGCCTGAGGATTTTAGGGCACGACGAGACTGCGCCTACGGAAGGCCGGGCGACAGGAGCGGCTGGGCTAGGCCGGCCACAGACCCGGCGCGGCGCGGAATAGTGACGTCTACACCGGCGGGAACTGCCGTCACCTGTGCGCCCCGCCGCTTCCGGTCGGCGTGAGTGGCGTTCTCGCGCCGGTGGCGGGCTCGGGGCCGGCGTTGGCGCGCAGTGCGCTGCAGGTTTTCGCCGGTCGGCCTCCGTCTCCCGGGACCATGGCCACGGACTCGTGGGCTCTGGCGGTGGACGAGCAGGAAGCGGCTGTCAAGTCGGTAAGTGGCTTCGGCGCCAGGGGCAGAACGTAGCACGGGCCGAGCGGACGCTGCTGCGAGCACCGGGAGCTCCCCGGCTGGGGCAGGCCCGGGGCCGCCACTGGCCGGGAGTTTGTCGCGGGCACTTAGCCTTGTTTTGCTCCTAGGGCCAAAGAGACCAACATCTAGCTTTTTATGTTCAGCTGAGCTAGTTAAGGATTAAGGACTTTATCCTGTGGTAAATCCGTCGCGCTGTGTCTGCTAGCTTTCCTCTCTCTTTGTTTTTCAGCGTATTATGGGGGTACAAGTGTTAAGGTTACATATATTGCCCATGCCCCCCTCTCCCCTCGAGTAAGAGCTTCAAGCGTGTCCATCAAGTACACCTCTTTCTTAGTGACATTGTAGGGGAAGGCGAATTTAGATGCCGATTCCTTCTTCATTAAGTGACTACTTTTTGCGTGTTCCTCTGCTACTCTATGTTTAACATTTCTTAGATCTGTGCTTAAGGTGGTTGGCAGCTTGTAGCTTTTTACAGATTAACTGATTCAGATTTAGATTTAATGTCTCCTTCTACTGCAAATGTTGGAGGGAGACACTACAAATTGTTTCATTGATGCTTAAGGTGACATTTAGTTTCATATACTGGTTCTTTGACTAATGACGATCCATTCAACTAGAGTGTAACGATATTGCAAATGGTGGCTTTCTGTTCTTGTATCTACGCCCTAAAATTTAAGTTTATTTAGTGATAATGGACTGTTGGTTTTAAGAATATAGACTGTTTTTGTAGTTTCAGTCTTATATAACTTGTTAATGCTTACATTTTCTTTCCCAGACACCTTTTATTGCTTTGGGGGCATCATCAATTTGTCAGCAGGTATTTGAAATGGAGTAAGCCCAGTGGAGTGTAGGAAGCAGCTTTGTAATCGAGTTAGGAGGGCTAGAATGGAGGGAGTGCTGCGAAAGTGGTAAGAATAATGTGACAGGTGAGCTCTCAGCCGAGAGAGGACCTTTGTGAGTAGGAAAATCGGGTATTGCTTGTAAAGACGTTTACATTGGAGCTGGGTATTAAAGAATGAGTCATGTTTATTAAGATAGAGGTGGCGGCTAAGGGCATTTTAGGAGAAATTCACAAAAGTGCTGGGCTTGCCTAGAGAACAGGAGTCAGAATTCATTTTTGCTGCAGCTTAAGGTTATTGGGTTGGGGGAAGAGCAGTATAGAAAGTAGTGCGGGGAGTGTACTTTGGACCTTAACTAAGAACTTAAAAGGGGAAAGGCTTTATTATCTGGTAGGTTTAGGGAATTTTAAGAGGGATGCTGACAAGATTAGATCTAAGAGCTGGCAAGATTTATTGGGCTGCAGAGGACAGAATATATTAGAAGGAGAGATGCCCAAAGGAAAGGAGATCAGCGTGGACGTTATTCTGATAGCCCAGAGAGAGAGAGCGCATATGTTGGGCAGTGGAAGTGACAATGGATTCAAGAAATAACATTAAGGTAGAATGTGCAGGATTTGTTAATATAAAGAGGAAAGGAGGATATAAAGCCAGGAGTTACTGTTTTTGTTTGTTTGTTTAGGAGTTACTGTTTTCAACCTGGATCCTATAGGTATTATTACTAAAGTGTCAATAACAAGAATAGGGCAGTGGGAGGAAAGGCAGACTTGGTGTGGGGAATCATGAATTCAGGTTTGGCTGGTCTGAATTCAAGGTATGGGGACATCTTGATAAGGAGACATCTTGGAGTCCCCAAGAGGTGTCTAGGTTTGCTGATTTGCTAGGAAGGCTTACAGGACTCAGCGCATAGTTGTAGTCACAGCTAGGAGTTATTACAGTGAAAAGATGCAGAGTAAAATTAGAAAATGGAAAGGCTCATGGGGCAAAGTCCACAGGAAACCAGGTACAAACTTCCAAGAATCATCTCCCAGTGGAGTCCACAGAACATGCTTAATTCTTCCAGCAACAAATAGTAACAACGTATGTGACGTGTTGTCAGGGAAGCGCATGAGAGACCCACTGCTCAGGGTTTTTATTGGGACCCTGTCACATAACCTCCCTCTGTCTAGCACGTGCCAAATTCCAGACTTCCAGAAGGAAAATGAGTGTTTAGCATAAACCACATGTTTTTACCAACAGTTTAGACATAGTGGCCCCCTCTTACCAGTTCTGGGAATGGCAGGAATCCTCCCAAAATCTAAGTTCCCAGATGCTAGCCAAGGGCCAAGCTTGCAAGCAGGCTTCCCCAAGGATAGCAGTCAGGTGCGGAAGCACTGCACCTGCCAGGCGTTTGGAGTTCAGAGAGGGATCGGGACAGAGGTATAAAACTGGCAGTTTCCACAAAGAAATTAAAAAGTATCATAAGGACATACATGATTCTTGTATTCTAGAGTTTAAAAATGTAATGTTTAGCATCAGATCGCCCCTAAAAGACAGTTACTGATAATTGGTTTCAAATCTTTTTAAATCTACGACCCTAATCTAGCTATGATAGGACTGTCACCAAATATAGGCCTAAACATACTTGGTGTCTGATTCTAACCCTTGTGCTTATCAGGAGGCTGGTGTAAATAAATGGTTTTTTTTTTTTTTTTTTTGACTAGTCAAGTGCAGTAGTAAGAAGAGGGAAAGTAGTAGAACAAGGAGTTCAGTCTGTAACTGTGAACAATCAAGTGAGATAACTCACTACCTTTGGACCAGCCAAATGTTTTCTAATCGTTGGGGAAGACCTCCCCCCCCCTTTTTTTTTTAACCGTACAGACCTGTGTATGTTCACTTAATAAGTGATTCGTGGTATTAGGTTATCATGTGGCTCTGCTGTCTAGATATAGTGAATGAAGATGACAGAAGAGGACAGACAAAGCACAATGATAAACAGATCCTGTATTTACATACATATAATGAGAATCTTTGGTTTGAGCTTTGAGAAGCCACTGAAAGTTTTTGAGCTTGTGTGGTCTAACGTGTACCTTCAGACTCTTTTCTGACATACAAAAAAATGGGCTTGGGGAGGGGAGAGAGAAGAAGGGAGAGGTGTGTGGGGCAGTTTAGTTCAGATGCAGTTGTAGGAACCCTAATAAAAGATAAGAGTCTGAATGGAGGCTGTAGAAATAGGACCCTGATGCCAGCTGTCTTGTCTTCACTTCTAACCCAACTAGCTTCTTTTGCTGCTGCTTTCTGACCATATTACCAGTTAAATTTCTTTTTTTCTCCTTTCCTTTTTTGAGACCAGGATATTAATTAGGATGGGGAAAAGTACTTTTATTGTAACAAAAAACTTCTGTCCAGTGTGAAGCATGCTACCTTCTGTGCGAGGTAAGATTAATAATCAGAAAGTGGCTCAGTGAGGATGAATCCAAAATGAAAGGCCATGGGGAATTGGTGGCTTACCTCTTTCCCATGGGAGTTACCTCTCAGGACAGGAATACTTGTCTACTAGTAGTTTTTTTTTTTGTTTGTTTGTTTTTTTGAGACAGAGTCTCAGTTTGTTGCCCAGGCTAGAGTGAGTGCCGTGGCATCAGCCTAGCTCACAGCAACCTCAATCTCCTGGGCTCAAGCGATTCTACTGCCTCAGCCTCCCTAGTAGCTGGGACTACAGGCATGCGGCACCATGCCTGGCTAATTTTTTGTATATATATTTTTAGTTGGTCAATTAATTTCTTTCTATTTTTAGTAGAGACGGGTCTCGCTCTTGGTCAGGCTGGTTTCGAACTGCTGACCTCGAGTAATCCACCAGCCTCGGCTTCCCAGAGTGCTAGGATTACAGGCGTGAGCCACAATGCCCGGCCTGCCAGTAGTTTTTGAATGCAGCTGAGTAAATCCTGACAAAGTCTTGCTAGTAGGATCCCCTTGCTTAGGCCCTAAACATGTCACTGTTTCTTAGTACATACAAATGACAGTACAGTGGGTTTGGTTACAGTTTTCCCCCGGGCTCCCCATTAGTTCAATTTTCTGGAACCTTGGATTAGGAAATTCCAGATTATCTCAATCACATTTTCAAACCAACCCAAGAGTAGTGTGCATTCGGCCTGAAATGAGGATTAACCAGTGGGTAAGTTCTGGTGTAAGATACCTTCCTTACATGCGCCACACCTCCCACTGGCCCGAGGGAAAGGGTATCTAGCACCAGGGAAGACCTGTGGATCTGATTTTTCTCTGGAAACCTGATTTCTAAAGAGATCAGATGAATACTCTTACTTTTTTTTTCTAGCATTGGAATAGTGGCCGAGGACTTCCTCCTTTTAAAGGCCAAGAGCAGGGTTGGTAATGGGGCGGGGGGTCATATTGGAGGGGGAAATATCATTTGGCAAAGTATAGTAAGCCCTCAGGAAGCACTGGCTGTTGTACTAAGAATAATGAATTATTGCATAAATTCAGGGATCTGACTTGGGGCAGTTGTTGGCCCAGGGCTTGATTTGGGAGTTCCTCAACCTGACAACATACATTTGTAATACCACCTTTATGTCACTCTTTTATTCTTACCAACGCTAAACATGGAAAAATTGTTCTCATGAAAGCGGAGGTTCGATTACAATTTTATCCATTATTGCTCTGCTTGCAATTTCATTTGCAGCTTAGTAAGCAAGTTTGTACTGACTAGTACTACATGGCCAGGAGTAAATCAAAAAACCGTTTTATTCCAGTTCCTGGAAGATTTACAAAATCAGGAGCTTGGTTTTGTCAATTCTTTTATTGTAATAATTCAGCTTTTACCTAACATAATGTAGGTGGTTGATACAAGAAAGAGGATGGTAATTTATTTGCTAAGTGTTGCTTTAATACACTGTGGGCTTCAGGATTAAAAAGAAAATCTTGGGAGGCCAAGGCGGGAGGATTGCTCGAGGTCAGGAGTTCGAGACCAGCCTGAGCAAGAGTGAGACCCCCATCTCTACTAAAAAATAGAAAGAAAATATCTGGACAACTAATATATACAGAAAATATTAGCTGGGCATGGTGGTGCATGCCTGTAGTCCCGGCTACTCAGGAGGCTGAGGGAGAAGGATTGCTTGAGCCCAGGAGTTTGAGGTTGCTGTGAGCTAGGCTGACACCACGGCACTCTAACAGGGGCAACAGAGTGAGACTGTGTCTCAAAAAAAAAAAAAAAAAGATAAAAAATGGTACACCGTGGGGTGCTTACCATGAATGTAACTTGCAGGACTGGCTAGAAGTTACTCTGGGTGAGTCAGTGAGTGAGTGAGTGGTAAGTAGATGTGAAGGCCCAGGACATTACTCTGCATTACTGTATAACTTAGGCTACACTAAATTTGTAAACAATATTTTTTCTTCAATAATAAGCTAACCTTGCCAAGCACAGTGACTAGACCCTGTAAACCCACCTACTTGGGAGGCTGAGATGGGAGGATCACTCGAGGCCAGGAGCTGAAGGTTATAGTGGGCTGTGATCACACCACTGCACTCCAGCGTGGGCAACAGAGCGAGATCCTGTCTCTAAAAAAATTTTTTTCTAATTAATTAACCTTAGCTTTGTAACTATTGTAACTTTTTAAATTCACAAACTTTTAAATGTTTTTAACTTTTTGACTCTTTTGTAATAACACTTAGCTTAAAACACAAACACTTTGTATAGTAGCAGTATAGAAATATTTTCTTTCTTTTTTTTTTTTTTTTTTTTTGAGACAGCGTCTCATTCTGTCGTCTTGGGTAGAGTGGAGTACAGTAATGTCGTCATAGCTCACTGCAACCTCCAACTCCTGACCTCAAGGGATCCTCCTGCCCCAGCTTTCCAGGATGCTAGGATTACAGGCATGAGCCACTGTGCCCAGCCAGCTTGCTTCTATTTTTAAAAGTTTTTATTTTTCTTTTTTTACTTTTTATTTGAGACGGAGTCTCACTCTGTTACCCAGGCTGGCATAGAGTGGCTATTCACAGGTACAATCATAGCCTACTATAGCCTCGAACTCCTGGGCACAAGTGATCCTCCTGCCTCATCCTCCTGAGTAGCTGGGACTAGAGGAGTATGCCACCATTCCCAGCTCAGTTTTCTAATTTTTGTAGAGACATGGTCTCCCTCTTGCTCAGGCCAGTCTCAAACTCCACCCTCAAGCAATCCTCCCACCTCGGCCTCCCAAACTGCTAGCATTTGGTTTACTTTTTAAACGACTCGTAGCACAGTGGGTTCATTTACACCAGCACAAACACATGAGGAAACATTGCATCATGACATTCTGATGGCTATGATGTCACTAAGTGATAGGAATTTTTCAGCTCCCTTATATTCTTATGGGACCACTGTTGTATATTCAGTCTGTCATTGACTGAAACATTATGCAGAATGTGACTGTAATAGATATTTACTGAAGGTTAGATGTTCTAGAAAGAGAACACTGGGGCTGGGCATGGTGGCTCATGCCTGTAATCCTAGCACCCTGGGAGACTGAGGTGGGAGGATTGCTTAAGATCTGCATTTTGAGATCAGCCTGAACAAGAGTGAGACCTCATCTCTACAAAAAATAGAAAAATTAGCTGGGCATGGTGGCACACCTGTAGTCCCAGCTACTCGGGAGGCTGAGGCAGGAGGTTCACTTGAGCCTAAGGGTTTGAGGTTGCAGTGACTTATGATGATGCCACAGCATTCTAGCCTGGGTGACAGAGTAAGACTCTTGTCTCCCCCAAAGAAGAGAGAGAACGTTAGAACACGTTCTCTAGAAAACAGAACATAAGTTGGAAGAGACTTAGACTTTTTTGTACTTTCCCCCCAACCATTACATTTAGTCTACCCCGCCCCCTTTTTTAGAGCTGTTGAAGATAATGTAAAATGTTTTCTCACAAGCTTATAGCAGTTTTGCCTTGAGCAGAACAAACTAACTCCCTGAGTATAGCTTCTGAAGTAGTTTCAGACTAGAGTTTCTCTAGGGAGCTTCTCTTTGCTCAAAAGCCTTTTCTTCACCAGTCATTTGCTTAACTCTTGTTACTTTTTATTCCTATTCAGATGAGCAGTTTGCAAATCAAGGAAGAGAAAGTCAAAGCAGATACTAATGGTGAGTGACTAGTAACGACCAGCTAGATGAGAGTCACACACGGGCTTCTGCTTTGCACTCGCGGCTGCGATGTACAAGGAGCTTTCATTTAGTATAACTTTTGGCACATGTTGGAGAGCTAGGAAATTAAGTTTTGTTACTGAGGAATATGTTGGTTTTCCAGATTCTGTCTAGCCTCTGACTCCTTAAAATTAAGGATCACTATTGGATTGTACTGCTGCTGTTCACTTGATAAGGTTTCTTTAAAATTTTTTGACTTTTTAAAAAGTGAATCTGTGTTCAAAACTCAAAGTATGAATATAAAAACATACAAGGATTAGGGCTCACCCTAATGATCCCATCTTAACTAATTATGTCTGTGACAACTGTATTTCATAATAAGGTGACATTCTGAGGTGCTGGTTAGGACCTCACGGGAGGACCTATTTTAGGGGAGGACATGATTCAACCCATAACATTACCCCATCTCATAAGTAACCATTGTTATTGGATTTTTAATGTTCTTCCAAAGTTACTTTATGCACAGCAAATACAAATATAAATTCTCCTATTGTCTCTTTTTTAAGCAAAAAATAACATGATATATATAGTACACTTACTTTTCCACCCAACAATGTATCTTGATCAGTACAAGCTTTCCTGATCAGTACATGGGGCTTCCTTGCTCTATTTTATACCTATGATACTGTATTGTGTCAGTACACCATAATTGTTTAACCAGTCATCTATTGACAGATGTTTGGGTTGGTCCCATATTTTTTGGTGTTATAAACAATGCTTCATTGAATAACTATTAATATAAACTTTGTCCATGTATGCAAATGTGTTTGCAGGGAAAATTCCAAAAGATTTTTGTGAGGTCAAAGGTATATGCATTTGTCGTTTTTATCAGTTTTCAAAGTACCTTCCATAGGCATTATACCAGTTTATATTTCTGCCAGCGAAGTATGAGGGTGGTTTTCTTCCTGCTACCTCATCACGGAATTGTTAGTCAAACTATGAGAATTTTGCCAGTCTGAGAGGTAAAAAATGGTAGATCATGTTTGCTAAACAAGGCTGTGTGTTTATTTTTTTATCGCCCCATCCCCCACAATGCTATATTTTAAATTAGGATTAGTAAGTTAGAGGTGACATATTCTGATCACTCTGAGTGTTAGTGTCAGTTAGTGTAACTAACTTTAATTAAAACTTAAAGAAATTTAAAATTGTCTTACATACTTTAAAACTTCCTAGAAATAAAAATCCATTAAACATAAAGAAATGCCAACTATTTATATTTTGATCACTTAAATAAATTTCAGTATTTTCATTGTTCTACCTTTTAGGTAGGTTTAATATTTGCCTTTCTAACTATTACAACTGTTTTCTGGTGTAGGTGTTGTCAAAGCCAGTACCACTGCTGAGAAAACAGATGAAGAAGAGAAAGGTAACTGCTGTTGGCCCGTGGAGGAGGAAACTGATAATGCAAGAGACAGTGCGACCCAGGGCCTGCCTTTCTGGAGTGAGAGGCACTCTGGGCTTCAGGATCAGGGAGAGGAGAGGAACCAGTGAGACAGGAGGAGACCCAAGCGAGAGTGATGTCCCAAGAGCCAAGAAGGAAGTGTTTGTAGAGTGTCAAGTATAGGTAATAAGTAGATTAAGAGAAGAACTAGAAATTGGCTGTTAGATCGATTTGGCAGTGTGGAAGTCACTGGTGAGTTTGACAAGGGCTATTGAAGTTGAGCGGGGAGGTTAAAAATAAAAGGCCTGTTCACCAAGCGTGGTGGCTCAGGCCTGTAATCTCAGTGCTTTGGGAGGACAAAGTGGAAGGACTGCTTGAGGCCAGGAGTTGGAGAATAGCCTGGGCAATGTGATGAGACTCCATTTCTACCAAAAATTTAAAAATTAGCCTCACATGGTGGCCCATGCCTGTAGTCCCAGCTACTTGGGAGCCTGAGGTGAGTAGGTCACCTGAGCTCAGAAATTCAAGGTTGTAGTGAGCTATGATCATGTCATTGCACTGCAGCCTGGGTGACAGACTGAGACCCTGTCCCTAACAAATGGGAATGATCCAGTGGAGTAAGAAGCTGATAATGCAGGACAGTCAGTATTGAGAAAAATGTCCTTGTGGGTAGGAAGGGACGAGCACTACTGGACAAGCAGGGAGGAGCACAGGCTTCTGTCCAGTCACAGGAGGGAAGGTGGGGAATACGGGCACCAATGCAAGTGGGTGTGGTGCCTTGGTCATGTGTGAGCATGTGGAGGGGTTACATGTTTGAGAAGAAAGGAAAAAGTACAAAATGGAGGTTTGAGGAGAAGAATGTGTGAGCCGACTATGGAAACAAAGTCTTGCTGGGGCCTGACCCAGTGGCTCATACCTGTAATCCTAGCACTCTGGGAGGTGGAGGCAGGCAGATTGCTCAAGGTCAGGAGTTCGAAACCAGCCTGAGCAAGAGCGAGATCCCGCCTCTACTAAAAGGATAGAAAGAAATTAATTGGCCAACTAAAAATATATAGAAAAATTAGCCGGACATGGTGGCACATGCCTATAGTCCCAGCTACTCAGGAGGCTGAGGCAGAAAGATCGCCTGAGCCCAGGAGTTTGAGGTTGCTGTGAGCTAGGCTGACGCCACAGCACTCTAGCCCAGGCAACAAAGTGAGACTCTGTCTCAAAAAAAAAAAAAAGACTTGCTGGGCAGCTCTGCCCATTTGCGTGTAGTGGTCAAGAGTTTAAAGTGAGACCTGTCATTGTGATGATTGTGCTTTTCTCCAGTCATGCTTGGCTGTCCAGGTGTCAGTGCGGAGAGGGAGAGGAAGTGGTTTTACAAGGGTGGGGTCTGCCAGATGAGTATGAAGGAAATCTACTGGTTTCTTCCTGACAGAGGACCGAGCTGCCCAGTCCTTACTCAACAAGCTGATCAGAAGCAACCTTGTGGACAACACAAACCAGGTGGAAGTCCTGCAGCGGGATCCAAACTCCCCGCTCTACTCAGTGAAGTCTTTTGAAGAGCTGCGGCTGTGAGTATTTGTTCCTTTGAATGGCTGTTCCTTGCCAGTCCCTCTGTATAAAACTTAGCATCTCAGAGATTCCTGTGGGAGTTTTGCTTTCTACTTTTACTTTAAAAGATTAATGTATTCTTCTTCGAATAGGTTATAAGTCATATGATTCAGAAGTCAAAACGTATGAAAAAATTTACAGTAATAATCTCCCACCCTTGTCTTTTGGCTACCCAGTTCTTCTCCTCTTGGTAGGAATTTTTAAATGCCACAAATTAATTCATTATAGCTGAAAGTCTTTTTTCTTTTATGCTCTTAGAACTTTCAATAAAATATTGGCTGACAGGTGATTTCTGGATGTCAGGAACATTTCTTATTAGGTAAGCCCTTTTGTTAGACTCTAGGGTTTACGGTCTTAAGAACAGCTTATCTGTTTCTAGAATAAAAACTGTCAAAAGAGCCTGGGTTCCTGGTATCTTCAATAGCAAGCACCTTTGACAGTCCTGGAATTAAAAAAAAAACAAAAAACTCCAGAACCTAGAATGAAGCTTTAGAAGAACATTTTTATGGCATTATGCTAATAATAACTTATCATTTTAAAGGCAGAAAATTATGAAAGGTCATACCATGTTTTTTGTTTTCTTCAGTATGTTAATAAGAGGTCTTTATGGCTCATTGGTTTACATTCCTGCCTTTGTCCATGGTGTTATGAGGAACACAAGACATTCTTGCTGTCTGCTTGGGTCATAGTGAGGGACAGAAATAGCAGGTGCATAAGAATGTGGTGGAATAGATGGATTCTTTGCCTTGTTCAGCAAAATCTACATTATGCTTGCTGTGGGCAAATAGAAGCCACATTCCTTCTCTTACCAATGAGTAAGAGATACTTAAAATAAGAGAGGTTACTAGTTATTAGTGAAGTAATTATAAGGAACACTCTTTTTAAAGTGTGACTTTTTTTTAAACATTTTCTGGAAATTATGCTTTTCCATGTCACAGGCTTTATTCAACAAATTTGTCATGTCTGCTTCACATCTACCTGCCCTGATACAGTTAAGAACAGCTCTATTGTTTCCTGAGACTGACATTTTCCAAATATCAGTGTTTTTTTTTTAAGTTCCTTTCATTTAAAAGACTTAAGTTCTCAATTTAATGAATTGTCCTCTTTGAAAGGCAAGTTCTCTCTGATTTAGTTGTTGGTAGCAAAAGGAAATAAACAAACCTATGTTGCCTAATATACTTGGTCTGTTATGTATTTTAAAAGATTTGAATTAATCTGAAAAATAAAGGAAAAATGATGAGGTTGTAGAAGCTACTGTATCATTTGAATCGTGGTTAGGTAGTGACTATTTCCTTGACCAAATTAGAAGCTGCCAAGTATCACAGCTTTTGCTTCCAAATGAAAGGCGCCAAAGGTTATGTTTTTAAAGTTCTCGGTGTCTGAGAACCAGCATATCCCACAAGAATTTGCCTTTTAAAGACCCTGTTAAACTCTAAGGAATGCTTAGAGAACAGAAATCTTGACTTGGTGTGACTTTTTTTATTTATCTATTTTACAGTGGGCTCAACACTGAGGAAGGTCTAACTTTTATTTAGGAAACATCTGATATGGTTTTTGTTAAACATTCTGTCACTCTAGAGGTGGCATAGAGTTTATTGTAAATGTAATGTAAGAACAACTTTAAATGATAATTGTCGTGTAGCTACTTAGATAGGAAGTTGGTGTTTTTCTATTCCTGTTTTGCCTAGACCTAATATCTAAATCTGAGCATTTGTTAAATTCAATGTGATAACTGAACTGCCCTTACCTATTTACTGTACATCAGCTGCTGGAAACTGGCTTTGTCAATTTTCTTACATGTTGATTGTCCTGAGGGTCTGCACAGCTGGCTTTGGAAGCTTTGAACGCTGGTTCAGTTTAACCCATGTACTGAGAAATTAAAACATGCACTGAGAAATCTCATGCTCTGAAGAGACTTTTAAATTTTAGCAGTATAGTAAGCAGTGTTTATTTTAATTTGTTTTGTGCTATGAGTTAATGACTACTACCCTTGCTCTAGCCAGGGAACACTTACTATCTGAGGCAACCAGATTTGCAGGTCTGCTGAAAGCATGAATTTCTCCAGGAAAGGAAACCAGTCTGTATTTTATGAATTATAGAATAGTTGCACATTAAAATTTCATAGGGAAAGATGGTGGTTTGGTTTGGTTTGAGATAGTGCTTTTTAAGGCATAGGAAATTATGTCTGACAGAGGTAGGAAGCATTGTTTCTTGCTAGATACAGGGAACAGTAATTCCAGGCCTTCTGAAAGATAACAGGCCTTCTGAAACAATTTTACCTTCTGAAACAATTTTACCTACTAGGAATCCATCCTCTGTTTTCTTGTCCTAGAAAACCACAGCTTCTCCAGGGAGTCTATGCCATGGGCTTCAATCGACCGTCCAAGATACAAGAGAATGCGTTACCCATGATGCTTGCTGAACCGTGAGTATGCAGAACCAAGCACATCCCTTCTAAATTTGATTAAATAAAGTCTCCCACAAACAGCTGTTAGTGCGCCTGAGAAGAAAAGGGGCCATTTAGGGCAACCTCTTTCCTCAGGAAAACAGCTTGGGCAAGTGCGGTGAAGCATAAGGAATTGGATACAGTTTCTGCTCTTCTGCACTTCATAGTAAAAACTGATAGAAAAGGTAGTACTTGATTCTATGCAGTTTTTTTGTTTGTTTTTTGAGAAAAGGTTTTGCTCTGTTACCTAGGCTAGAGTACAGGGGCGTCATCATAGCTCACTACAACCTCAAACTCCTGGGACTATAGGTATACACCACCATGACTGGCTGATGTGTTTTGCTTTTTGTAGAGACAGGGTCGCTGTTGCCCAGGTTGGTCTTGAACTCCCAGCCTCCATATATTCTCCCTTCTCGGCTTCCCAAAGTGCTAGGATTACAGGTTTGAGTTACTGTCCCTGGCTGTTGTATGCAGTTTTAAAAATTAGGTTTTTTTTTTTTTTTTTTTTTTTTTTTGAGACAGAGTCTCGCTTTGTTGTCCAGGCTAGAGTGAGTGCCGTGGCGTCAGCCTAGCTCACAGGAACCTCAAACTCCTGGGCTCGAGCGATCCTTCTGCCTCAGCCTCCCGAGTAGCTGGGACTACAGGCATGCGCCACCATGCCCGGCTAATTTTTTATATATATATCAGTTGGCCAATTAATTTCTTTCTATTTATAGTAGAGACGGGGTCTCGCTCTTGCTCAGGCTGGTTTTGAACTCCTGACCTTGAGCAATCCGCCCACCTCGGCCTCCCAAGAGCTAGGATTACAGGCGTGAGCCACAGCGCCCGGCCAAAAATTAGGTTTTTAAAAGTTGTTTTGAAATGTTTGAGATCTCCAAAAAGGTGTAAAGAATAATACCAAGAATGCTTGCAGCCCTGTACTGCCAAGGAATGAAACATGGACCCGGTTGCCACAGGAAGCGCCTGGGTGCCCCTCCCTTCATAGGCCCCCTTATCCCCCAACCAGAACGAGCCCCTTTCTGAGATGGGCTGTCATTCCCTCAGGTTTCTTTATACTTTTACTACCTATGTACATGTCCCTAAGACTCTGAACAGTAGTTTACAACTCTTTTTTTTTTTTGAGAACAGAGTCTTGCTTTGTTGCCCAGGCTAGAGTGAGTGCCGTGGCGTCAGCCTAGCTCACAGCAACCTCAAACTCCTGGGCTCAAGCAATCCTGCTGCCTCAGCCTCCCGAGTAGCTAGGACTACAGGATGCGCCACCATGCCCAGCTAATTTTTTCTCTATACATTAGTTGGCCAATTAATTTCTATTTCTAGTAGAGACGGGGTCTCGCTCTTGCTCAGGCTGGTTTGAACTCCTGACCTTGAACAATCTGCCCACCTCGGCCTCCCAGAGAGCTAGGATTACAGGTGTGAGCCACCACGCCCGGCCTACAACTCTTTATTTTATAATGAGAAAAATTATTTTCTAATGACAAAAATGCCACCTATTCCCATGACACTGGGTCACGTGAAGTAGGATATAAAAGTTCCCTCTAACACATCCATCTGATTTGGTATCCTGCATTGTCCATAAAAATGGGGAAACACCACATCAGGTGCCAAGTCCTGAGGACACGTGGTGGCTCAGCAGGAAATATCATTGGAGACTCATTTGGGCAGTTCTTATTCTATACTCTTGCTTTCCATGGGAGCCTTGGGGTAGAAAACTAGGGGCTCTCTAGCTGTGCTAGAGTCTAGAATGACGATTTCTTGGTGTGAACCTGTCTAAAACAGTTATTTTCTATTTAAGCTCTTTTTTTTTTTTTTTTTTTTTTTGAGACAGAGTCTCACTCTGTTGCCCAGGCTAGAGTGCCATGGCATCAGCCTAGCTCACAGCAACCTCAAACTTCTGGGTTTCAAGTGATCCTTCTGCCTCAGCCTCCCAAGTAGCTGGGGCTACAGGCATGCGCCACCATGCCCGGCTAATTTTTTGTATATATATATTTTAGTTGGTCAATTAATTTATTTCTATTTTTGGTAGAGACGGGGTCTCGCTCAGGCTGGTTTCGAACTCCCGACCTTGAGCAATCCGCCCGCCTCAGCCTCCCAAAGTGCTAGGATTATAGGCGTGAGCCACCACACCTGGCTGACTTAAGCTCTTTTTTAAACAATATATAAAAAAAGGTATCAGAGTGGCCAGGTGCCACGGCTTCTACTGTAGTCACAGCAGTTTTGGAGGCTGAGGCAGGAGGATTGCTTGAGCTCAGGAGTTTTAGGCTGCTGTGAGATAACATCCTGCCACTGCACAATAGCCTGGGCAACAGAATGAGACCCTGTCTCGAAAAAAAAGTATCAAAGTAATTTGTTCTCAATAATATAGAGAAGCATAAAGGGGGAGATACTCCTTGCACCCAGAGAGGACATTGTTGCTTTATTGTGTTTAACCAACAGTAATGTCGTTTTTTATCATTCCTTGATGCAGCCCACAGAACCTGATTGCCCAGTCTCAGTCTGGTACTGGCAAAACTGCGGCTTTTGTCCTGGCCATGCTCAGCCGAGTGGAAACAGCAGAGAGATACCCGCAGGTGAGGGCTTGGGAAGCCTGGCAGCCCTGGCTTGTCTGCCCTAGAAGTGGCAGTGCCTCCTGGTGAGGGCTTATAGGAGAGGGTTGAAATTTTCTACACCTCAGGCAGAGGTGGTTAGCACCCCAGACTCTGACCTGGGCAGGAGGCATTTGGAAGCAGCAGCCTTCCACAGTGGCTTGCAAAGGCCTCCACCAAGCCAGGGTTCCCTACTGAGGCTTCGGTCAATAACTGAAAGTTGGGGCTGGTTTGAAGGATGCAGGTCCCTGCACTATTCACATGGTAATAACATCAGCACGCTTGTTGCTAAGCTTGTCACTTGTCGTCTGTTCGTAAATGGCTCTCCTAAACTCATCCTTTATGATTTCTCCATCAGTGTTTGTGCCTCTCCCCAACGTATGAGCTGGCACTTCAAACAGGAAAAGTGATTGAGCAGATGGGCAAATTTCATCCAGAACTAAAGCTTGCTTATGCTGTACGAGGCAATAAACGTGAGTATAAGGGGTGAGACTTCAGCAGTCAGCAGGGTAGTTTGAATTTTAAAGATGTGATAACCTTATTCAACTTTTTAGTTCAGTCTGACCCTGGAGCCTAACTGCATGTCTTTTAGCAAATCTATTTAAATACCTGCTAATTTGTTAACAGTCTTCTTCTGTCTTAAAATAAGATTTTCAGTTGCCAAAAGTCCCTGCATGACTCATGGATTTCTTCACTGAAGAATACAGGGTTTTGCATTTGGCATCGAAAGTTATGGGACCTGAGAGGAATTAGGACCTGAGGATGGTAGGTTGGGGTCAGATGCCATCCTTTAAAAGCAAGCACAGGCCGGGTCCGGTGGCTCATGCCTGCATTCGTAGGCTGAGGCTAGAGGATCGCTTGAGGTCAGCAGTTTGATACCAGTCTGGGTAAGAGCTAGCCCGTTTCTGCTGAAAATAGAAAAAATTAGCTGGGCAGGGTGACGTGCACCTGTAGTCCCAGCTACTTGGGAGGCTGAGGCAGGAGGACTGCTTGAGGAGTTTGACGTTGCAGTGAGCTAGGATTATGTCACTACACTCTAGTCAGGGTAACAGAGTGAGACTCTGTCTAAAAAAAAAAGGAAAGAAAGAAAAACATTGTGGTTTGGCATGCAGCAAAAGCACTTTATCGAGGAATTGTGAGATTGGGTACTTTGGATATTTTTGTGTGTGTTTATCTGATATCTCAAACTGATAAATGCAACCTAAGTGAAGTTGTGACAGCATGTATCTTCCTAGAATGTTTTGTAACATGGGACCTCACTGTCTGAGTGGCTAATATATTAACTGTATTTAATATATCATTTTTTAAAGGTTCTAATTTTGACTGACAGCCAGTGGGCATTGAGAAAATGATTTTTTTTTTTTTGAGACAGGGTCTCACTTTGTTGCCTAGGCTAGAGTGAGTGCCATGGCATCAGCCTAGCTCACAGCAACCTCAAACTCTTGGTCTCAAGCGATCCTCCTGCCTCAGCCTCCCGAGTAGCTGGGACTACAGGCATGCACCACCATGCCTGGCTAATTTTTTGTATATATATTTTTAGTTGGTCAATTAATTTCTTTCTATTTTTAGTAGAGACGGGGTCTCGCTTAGGCTGGTTTCGAATTCCCAACCTCGAGCAATCCGCCCACCTCGGCCTCCCAGAGTGCTAGGATTACAGGCGTGAGCCACCTCGCCCGGCCGAGAAAATGATTTTAAGTGTAAATTTAAAACTTTTCTAGTGGATAGTTGAATTCCTAAACAAAGGCCATTTTACCTCAATACTATGGTGATTTTATTTTTAGATGGGTTTCAAATTTTTGATGTTTTTAAGATAGTAACATGTTTGAAAATTGAAAAGAATCTATGATAGAAACTTTTCTTGCTTGGCCCCCAACCACCTACTTCTCTGGCTAGAGGCAGCCACTACTAACCAGTTTGTGTCCTGCTAGAGACATTCTGTGCTGTTATAATCAAGTTATATATGCATATGCGTGTGTGAGAATATGCACTGTACATGTAAACTCACACATACATATATTACATTTATCTTTTTCCCCCTTTTTGGTATATAAGCTACTAACTTTTTTTCACTTTTTGTTGAGCTAGGATCTCCCTGTGTTTCCCAGGTTGGACTTGAACTCCTAGACTCAAGTGATCTTCCTGCCTCCCGAGTAGCTGGGTCTATAGGGACGTGCCACCATACCCAGCTAATTTTTTCTATTTTTAGTAGAGACCATGTCTCACTTTCACTCAGGCTGGTCTCTAACTCCTAATCTCAAGCAATCCTCCTGCCTCAGCCTCCCAGAGTGCTAGGATTACAAGTGTGAGCCACTACACTCCCTGTTTGACTTTTAATAATTTTGGAGATTTTTTCTTACCAGTTCCTAAACACTTTTATGAATGTCATCCATTGGGTATAGCATACTTAATCAGTTACCTCCTTGCTGTGTTCTTCTTGCATATATTACATGTTACCGCATATGAATATACCTGCAGGATTACTTTCTAATAGTGGAAGTGTTGATCAAAGGGTATATGCATTAGTAATTTTGATAGATAATTGTAACAAGGCCGGGCGCAGTGGCTCATGCCTGTAATCCTAGCACTCTGGGAGGCTGAGGCGGGAGGATCGCTCAAGCTCAGGAGTTTGAGACCGGCCTGAGCAAGAGTAAAACCCCGTCTCTACTATAAATAGAAAGAAATTAATTGGCCAACTAAAAATAAATTAAAAAATTAGGCAGGCATGGTGGTGCATGCCTGTAGTCCCAGCTACTCCGGGAGGCTGAGCAGGAGGATCACTTGAGCCCAGGATTTGGAGGTTGCTGTAAACTAGGCTGACGCCATGGCACTCTAGCCTAGGCAACACAGTGAGACTCTTTTTTTTTTTTTGGAGACAAAGATTATTTGTAACAATATCCCACCACCTATAGTTTGAAAGTAATGTTTTTTTTTTCCTTTGGGAGTCACTGTGTTGCACTGGCTAAAGATCAGTGGTATCATCATAGCTCACTGCAACCTCACACTCCTGGGCTCAAGACATCCTCCTGAGTAGCTAGGACTACAGATGCACGCCACCATACCCTGTTAATTTTTTTCCTTTTTTGTATACACAGGATCTTGCTTTTGCTCAGGCTGGTCTTGAACTCCTGGCCTCAAGCAATCCTCCCAGAGTGGTAGGATTACAGGCATGAGCCACTGCATCTGGCTGTAATGTATTTTTTATTTATTTTTATTTTTTTTCTTTCTTTCTTTATTTTTTTTTGAGACAGAGTCTCACTTTGTTGCCCAGGCTAGAGTGAGTGCCATGGCGTCAGCCTAGCTCACAGCAACCTCAATCTCCTGGCTCAAGCGATCCTCCTGCCTCAGGCTCCCAAGTAGCTGGGACTACAGGCATGCACCACCATGCCCGGCTAATATTTTGTATATATATTTTTTAGTTGGTCAATTAATTTCTATTTTTAGTAGAGACAGGGTCTTGCTCAGGCTGGTTTCGAACTCCTGACCTTGAGCAATCCGCCCGCCTCGGCCTCCCAGAGTGCTAGGATTACAGGCGTGAGCCACCACGCCTGGCCGTTTTTTAAATCAAAGTGCTTAAGTAAACTATCTACACAGTGGGATGTCTAGACACCAGTTAACAGAGGCAAAAATTATTGGGCCAGGATCCTGGGACTCATCACTACCAATTTAGGAGTAAGCAAGTGAGCTGTGAGTAAATGGATGATAGGAAAAGCATAAAAGTAAGGATAAAGAGAAGCGTTGGATGATGTTGAATTATGGACCGTAGAAGGAAACTGATGCTTATTTACGATTCACTGTGGGATTTGATTCTGCCCACATGACAGAAGAAACCAAGATTTGAGGGAAACTTACCTGTGTTTTGACATTTGGGATTAACTTGTTTTACTGGTCCTGGAAGGATGGGCAGGGCTTTGATTTCCAGAGGTGGCTTTGCCTTTGAAATACCCACAGAAAACGTCTTGGGTCTCCACAGTGGAAAGGGGTCAAAAGATCAGTGAGCAGATTGTCATCGGGACCCCTGGGACTGTGCTGGACTGGTGCTCCAAGCTCAAGTTCATCGACCCCAAGAAGATCAAGGTTTTTGTTCTGGATGAGGCCGACGTGATGATAGCTACTCAGGGCCACCAGGATCAGAGCATCCGCATCCAGAGGTAGGAATCTCGAGCAGGGAGGAACTTCTCGGCCTCCCGATCTGCGGCATCTCCTCCCTTTGCTCCCTTTAATATGCCCCTTCTCGCTTCTGTCGAGTTCTTTACTCTCATATTTTCAGCAGCATTAGTTTGTCGGGCCATTTCCATGTCTGCACCGACCCTATGCCCTGCCAGCCTGGCTGGAGGAAGGAGACATGAGGACTCTTCCCCAGCCCTGTCCCCACCGAGGTCTTCTCCTCCCCGTGACGCTCCTTCCTGGGGACCCAGACCGTCCAGGCTGGGCCGCCCGTGCACCTGCTCCTTCCACCGAAAACCGCAGGGTGGTGCCAGATGCCCGGGCCTTCCCTTGCAGGATGCTGCCCAGGAACTGCCAGATGCTGCTTTTCTCTGCCACCTTTGAAGACTCCGTGTGGAAGTTTGCCCAGAAAGTGGTCCCGGACCCAAACGTTATCAAACTGAAGCGTGAGGAGGAGACCTTGGACACCATCAAGCAGTATTATGTGCTGTGCAATAGCAGAGACGAGAAGTTCCAGGCCTTGTGTAACCTGTACGGGGCCATCACGATTGCTCAAGCTATGATCTTCTGCCATGTGAGTAGCCGCAGCAGCAGCAGGGGGCCTGCTGGGGTCCACCCTCAGCCTGGAGTGGTGGCGCATGCCTGTAGTCCCAGCTACTCTGGAGTTTGAGGCAGAAGGATTCCTTGAGCCCAGGAGTTGGAGGTTGCTGTGAGCTAGGCTGACACCATGGCACTCTAGCCCAAGCAACAGAGTGAGACTCTGTCTCAAAAAAAAAAAAGCCAATCAAGGATTGCTCCTTCCATTTATTTATCATGTTGTCTCTTAAGACTCCTTAATCTAAAACAGTTTTCTCCTCCTTTTTTGCATTTCATAATGGACATCTTCAAGAGTCTAGGCTTAGTAGTCTTTTAGGATTTCTCTACTTTTCCCTCTTTGTGATTATACTCATGTTAAATATTTTTGTAAGATTACTACCGAGGTGACATTGTTTCTTCCTGTCGCATTACATCAGGTTAGCAGTTAAGGGTTAAATTTCCTCAATTGTTAAGTTTCAGATAGTTTTCCGGATCAAATATATTCTCTTCAGATACCTTCATTTCTCAGTCATTTTCTTTCTTGCAGACCCGCAAAACAGCTAGCTGGCTGGCAGCAGAGCTCTCAAAAGAAGGCCACCAGGTGGCTCTGCTGAGTGGCGAAATGATGGTGGAGCAGAGGGCTGCAGTGATCGAGCGCTTCCGAGAGGGCAAAGAGAAGGTTCTGGTGACCACCAATGTGTGTGCCCGAGGTGAGCAGAGAATGTGTCTGGGTCTGCTAGGTTCAGGGTCCCAGGTCCTGTTAACGAGAGAAATCCTTCTGCACCTGCCGAGGTTCTGTTCTTTCCCTCTGGAGTCTGCTGTGTCTGTATGTGCCCTGTCTTGTACCCAGTCCCCACAGTTGGCATGTCCTAGACTCTCCCCCCACCCAGGGTTGGTCTACGTTGATCTACCTGTGGGTGACAGTGGCTTTTGTCTCCCATCCTTACTCCTCTGTGTTTCCCTCTCCTTCACGCAGGCATCGACGTTGAACAGGTATCTGTCGTCATCAACTTTGATCTTCCCGTGGACAAGGACGGGAACCCGGACAACGAGACCTACCTGCACCGGATCGGGCGCACCGGGCGCTTTGGCAAGAGGGGCCTGGCCGTGAACATGGTCGACAGCAAGCACAGCATGAACATCCTGAACAGGATCCAGGAGCATTTTAGTGAGTCCCTGGGAGGGTCCTCGGCCCAGCACCCTTTCCTGGGGAGCAGGGATGGGAAAGGGGTGAGTTTTTCTGTAGCTCGAGAGAGCCCTTTGTCCCTGAGCACAGTACTCTCCTTTCCTACCATGTGGAAGTGCTCAGGGAGCACACCAGGAGAGTTCAGGGGTCAGGGACTCAAATGACACTGTCCCGGTGGCTCTGACTGTTGCTGTCAGTGACCAGGGCCCCATTGCCCCTGCTCAGGCACTGGGAGCCTTTGGGGCTAAGTGAAGGCTGCTATGGCCTGAGGTGTGGCACGTTCCTAGGCGGGACAGAGACCTGTGTTTTTCCCCCCCAGATAAGAAGATAGAAAGATTGGACACAGATGATTTGGATGAGATTGAGAAAATAGCCAACTGAGAAGCTCCACCAGTCACGGGTGCCCACCCTGGCGCTGCCGCTCCCTGGAGACAAGTGCTTTCTCGGCACAGGCCTGGACAGTCACCATGACAACGATGACATGAGTAGAGAGAAAACTACCTACCTCATTTCAAATTACATTTGGACTTGCCCAAAATTTGTGGAAATAATCGGGGAAAACAGGAAAATTTTACATTTTGGAAAATTTAGTCCTTTTTCCCCCCTTTTTTTAAGCCATGGTTTCCCCATCTTTATGGTAATCTGGTTGCTGTTTATAATTACTGGCCCCAGGACTCCTTGCCTGTTTTCTGGCTTGGGGTGTTAGGAGCAGCCTCCAGCCCCTGAGGAAATGCTAACTGTAGAGGCCAGGCAGGATGGGGTGTGGCCCCACTGCCGTGGGTGGAGCAGGTAGCAGCAGAGTCCTGGGACCTGCCCCCTTTCCTGGACCCCTCATGAGCAATTCATCTGGCCTTGAGGCCAGCCTCCTCCTCCTGAAATCTAGAAACGGTCCACACCTCACCCCTTTACCTCTGTGCTCTGTTGCAGAAGATATCCATTTCTCCCCGAGGAGAAACTCGGCTACTTTTGTAAACTTCAGATTTGCGGAGAACCGTAGACACCAGTGGATCCCAGCCCCTTTGAGAGATTGGTCCAGCCAGGGTAGATGAATCCTTCAAGGATCCTGCCTGCCTTCTCCTGTCAATTGTCCCATGAGCTTATTCTTGGCAGCCAGGACACACCGGTGATTGTCTCAATACACGTCTTGCCGAGTTAGTTGGTTCTTACCCATGGGGTGTCACACGGTGCCTAGAGCCAAGCAGCAGTTTGTAAAGGAAGTTATGACCAAGTGTAAACTCTGACCATGGTGTTCATCCATAATAGTGGACTTTAAGGACAGAAAATTCTAACTATACGCACCATTCATTATGCTAAGACATTTTACAGGAATTATGAGAAACGCTTTACTAATCATGATTTTTGTGTTTTTCTGCTTACTAGACTAATATATACTCATTTAAAAAAACGTGTGTGTATATAATAAAATGAGAGTGCCCTCCCTCCCCACCTCTCGGTCACCATTGCTGGCAACTTGGTGAACATTCCATCATATTGTGTTCTATTGGCCTTAAACCAACCAAGTTTTCTTTAAAAAAAAAAAAAGTGAATGTTCTATTCATGCTGTTGTACAGCCTGCTTTTTCTCTGGTCAGCGTATCTTGGACATGTTGAGATGTCCGGCACATGTAGCTCTTCCTCATTCTGGAAACTGGCTGTCATTCTAGCATGCAGCTGTTCCAGCATTTATTTCCTGGTTCCGCTGGTGACCGGCCTAGGGGATTTCTCGCATGTGGCTATTGCCCACCATGAACATCTTTGTTCTTATCTTTGAGTGCTGGTGAGAAACAGTCCTGGAAATAAAATTGTTGGGTCAAAGAGTGGGGACATTTAAAATTTTAATACATTGCCAATTAAGCCTGCCAAAATTTTTATCAATTTATGTTATTGTGATACAAAAATATCTATTACCTGCTTGCCAATACTCTGTATTATCAATTTTAAAAATTTTGCCAGCCTCAGTAGCAAAAACAGATTATGCCATTGCTTTTTTTTATTTTTTAAGTGAGGCTTCGCAAATGTTCCGTTTATTGGATATTTGTATTTTCTCTGTTGGGAAACTGCCCATATTCGTCTCACCATTTTATTATTAGATTATTAGTCTTTACTGATTTTTAGCAACCTTTGTATATTAGGGAAATTAGACTTTGTGTTGAGTGGGGGCAGCTTTTCTAGTTCCTTTACAAACTTCTTTTTTTTTTAATGCTACCCAAAATTTTGATTTTTGATTTGTTAGATTTTAATAAATCTGGATTTCACGTTAGGGAGCTTTCCTCATTCCAGTACTATAAAACATTTACCCATGTTTCCTGTGATTCTTGGGGCAGTAAATTTTCTAAGTTCTTACAGGTCTTAAGAAGGTTGTCATTTTGCCCTGCTTGTTCAGCTGTGAGCAATTCTAGTGTCATAGCGGTTGAACACTTGGCAGCGCTGAGGTTGCCTGTCCAAGAGTCGCTGCCACCAAGTGAAACGGGTAAGACCAGCGGGTGTGTCAGAGTTAAGAGTCGGGCAGGCCGGGCGCGGTGGCTCACGCCTGTAATCCTAGCACTCTGGGAGGCCAAGGCAGGTGGATTGCTCCAGGTCAGGAGTTCGAAACCAGCCTGAGCAAGAGTGAGACCCCCGTCTCTACTAAAAATAGAAAGAAATTAGCCAAACAACTAAATATAGAAAAAATTAGCCGGGCATGGTGGCGCATCCCTGTAGTCCCAGCTACTCGGGAGGCTGAGGCAGCAGGATCGCTTGAGCCCAGGAGTTTGAGGTTGCTGTGAGCTAGGCTGATGCCATGGCACTCACTCTAGCCTGGGCAACAAAGCGAGATTCTGTCTCAAAATAAAAAAGTCAGGGGCAAGACTAAGTGTCCACGTGGTAAAGGTGGTGCAGGAGAGACTGTGCAGGGGTGTGGGGGAAGAGGGGACACAGGAGCCATGGCTGGGGTGAGGAAGGGGTTATAGCAAGATGCAAGGGACAAGAAAGATGAAGTGGGTGCTATGAAGGGAGCCAGGCTTGGGGTGGGAAGGAGGTAAGACACAGGTCAGAGAAGAGTCGAAGACACAGCTTAGGGCTCAGGCATGACTGCCTTGACCCCAACAACAGTGAGACAGTAAATGGAAAAGTAGAAAACAAAACACACCGTCTGGCCGGGGCATGGTGGCTCATTCGTATAATCCGAGGCAGGTGGATTGCTCCAGGTCAGGAGTTTGAAACCAGCCTGAGCAAGAGCGAGACCCTGTCTCTACTATAAATAGAAAGAAATTGGCCAACTAATATATATAGAAAAAATTAGCCGGGCATGGTGGCACATGCCTGTAGTCCCAGCTACTCGGGAGGCCGAGGCAGCAGGATCGCTTGAGCCCAGGAGTTTAGGTTGCTATGAGCTAGGCTGATTTCACGCCACTTACTCTAGCCTGGAAGCCTGGGCAACAAAGAACAAAACAGACAGGCAGGCAGGCCGGGCATGGTGGCTCACACCTATAATCCTAGCACTCTGGGAGGCTGAGGCGGGTGGATTGCTCAAGGTCAGGAGTTCCGAAAACAGCCAGGGCAAGAGTGAGACCCCGTCTCTACTATAAATACAAAATTAATTGGCCAACTAATATATATAGAAAAAATTAGCCAGGCACGGTGGCACGTGCCTGTAGTCCCAGCTACTCGGGAGGCTGAGGCAGGAAGATCGCTTGAGCCCAGAAGTTTGAGGTTGCTGTGAGCTTGGCTGCCGCAGCACACACTCTAGCCTGGACAACAAAGTGAGACACTGTTTCAGAAAGAAAAACAAAAGACACTGTAAGTATTTTCATGGACTAGCAATGGAACGAAAATACAGATCTGTGAGCAGGGCTGAAGCTGAAACCTTGCTGGGCTCCAGTGGACTGGACCAGCTACCGGATTTAGAGCCAGTGGAGTCGAGGGGCCCCTAAGCCTTGGATGCAAGGCCAGAAGCACAGCCAGGGTCCCTGCTTGGACTGAGCCTGCTGCAGCTTCCCCTGCGCGGTGGCTGGAGGCGAGGCAAATTGTGTTAAGGCACGGACCCAGAAAAGGGGCAGAAGAACTTGGAGCCCACCTTGCAACAGGTAGGTGACACTATCCCTTTGCTGACTGTCCCCCTGGTTCTGTGATAACCCCAAATCTCTGCTGGGTAGGAGCCCCAAAAGGTCAACAGACCTCATTCTGTTTAATGAACAGCCCTAGGGGCTGGACAGATGGAAGGAGCCAACTGCTATGAGCCAGCCAACTACCTTTGTGCATCGTGGGGAGAGAAAAATCAGGAAGGGGAAAGAAAAAAACTTTGAAAAGAATCTGAAAATCAAAATTCCAAATTTAATGCTAAGACTGCCAACATCAACAAAACAAATTCACTCTAAGTAAAATTAATTTTATGGAATGCCTGATAAAACACTTAAGTATGTTTGGATGTTCAAAGAGAAAAAGAAAAGAATACATTTCACTTTTTAAAGGCAAGAAATTATGAAGTAAATTCAAGCAAAAGCAGTGGTGTACCAACTCATAACAGCAGGCGGTTAAATCATTGCTAGCTTGAAATTGGGCACGCCAGGAATATTTACACCACAGAAATCAGCAAATGCTACAAATCAAGGAGTTGTGTTTATCAGAGACAATTTACCAACATGCCACTGGCCACACATAAGATTATAAATGGTAATTATTAAAATAAAAAAAATTTGGCCAGGCACAGTGGTTCACACCAGTAATCCCAGCATTTTGGGAGGCCAAGGCAGAAAAAAGAATCATTGGAGGCCAGGATTTCGAGACCAGCTTGACCAAAATAGTGAGACCCTGTCTCTAATAAAAATTTTTTTAAAAATGAAAAGAATAATCAAATTCTGAGTTAGGAATCAGTGCTCCTCACTATGCTTCCCAAAAAATCACAACCTAAGCACTGGCATGAACCACCACCCTTGACCAGTAATTTGACTTTTTAAGATACAGGTTTAGGATTTTACCTTTACCTTGCCTGGCAAGGCATGATGCTTTCTTATCTTGTCAAACACGTCACAGAAGGTAGTTCCTTGCCAGTGGCTGTTCCTGTGATGGGTAAAATATTTAATGGCTTCCTTCTCTCCCCCTGGCATTCACTCATCCTATCCCAGGCCATAAATCCTACATTGCTCACCCAGCATGGCATCTCTCCCAGAGGAGGATCACACAGCCCTGCTAGGCTGGAGGCATGGCCATGGGACCTGTTTGGCATCAAGGAAACACGAACTTCTTGGCAGAAGCCTTAAGAGTCAGAGGCCAGAGTGGTTACAGCACAGCCCCTGCAGGAAGTTGCTGCCAGGAATAATTCTTTCCAATGCATTCTTTTTTTGAAGGAAACTGACGAGGGAAAATGAATTTATTTATAACCAAAATGCTCACGGTTCCTCAGATGCGTCTTGGGGACTTCAGACACTCAAAAGACAGGATGTCTAGGAATCATCTTGCCTCCCACATCCCCCCTCCCTGCAATATCCTCAGCCATTATCGTTCACAGGTCCCCATTCTCAGATTTGCCTCCCCACGATCATGCACGTTTCAGAACAAACGAAAGACTATATAGTTTTGTTGTTCTTTTTAATTCAGAAAGAGAGAAAGGGAAGGAAATAAAAAACTTTTAACTATTGCAGAAAAGGAGATCTGGGCTGGATGCTGGGACCTACCTCTTCCAGAATGGGAATTAATGGTTTAAACAAAACAAAAACAAAGAAATAAATTATTCTGCTCAATACTGTTTGGCATAATTGCATTGTTTTTCATCTTCAAAACAGCCTCTTCAGGAAGCACTGAAATGAGACTGGCAAGAATGGCTGGTGCCTTGACACTCTAGGACGGAGCGGGGAGCCCTGAGAGGCAGTCTACTAAATCCCCCGTCCTTCCCGTTCTTTACTCCTCCTCGGTTTGGAATTGGGAAGGAACAGAGTCAAACTCTAAGCTCTCAATATATTAATTCTTCTGGGTGCCCACTGCCCATCCCAACCCTCCCCTAACAAACTCCCCTGCTGGTCACTGTTCCCCCAGCCAGCTGCAGGAACCATACCAAAGGCCAGGAGGCTGCTTGGTGGTGTCAACTGAGAAAAGGGGGGGCATGTGTGACCTTTGGTGGGAAGGGGATCCTTTTAGTGGTTTGGGAGCTTCACAGAAGCCCTTTCCCCCTCCTAAACTTCCCCAACCTTGAAGGGCAAGGCGACCATCAGCTCCCTCTGGGGACCTAAGCTGGGTACAGTAGCACCAACAGCTTCCAGCTGGAACCCCTGGTGGTCAGCTTCCCAGCCCTTCCCAAGCGGGAAACAGAAGGTGGGTCGGAGGGAGGAGGCGGAGATGAACAGGGGGACGCGGTGGCAGGAGGCATGCAGCGGCAAGTCTACTCCGCCCCCGCGAGGCTCCTGGCTACTTGCACGGCCAGCTCAGAATTTTAAAAGAATCTTTGTTGGTCAGCCATACCTGGTGGCTTCACATTAACTAAATTAGGAGCCCAAAGCAAAGTCACCCCTAAGCAAGCATCACTCTTTAGGGTGACAAGTGGAGGAAGGGGCATGCAGCGAGCAGCTGGGCTTCCCACCTCCAGTCTTCTTTCCATACTGTTGCTCTCCCTCCCTAAAGCCAGCCAAAGACGTGTGCGCCTGTGAGAGACAGAGAGAGCGCGAGCAGCAGCAGGGCCCCGATCCCAGGGCAGGTTTTCTGATTTTTTTCCAGAGCAACAAGTAGGCTGGTGAGGAGGCCCAGGGCCTAAGGAGAGACACTAAAAAGATTGTGAGTGAACAGAGGGGCCGAGGGCACACGTGAATGAGAAGCACCTTACGTTGGATGTGACAGAGCTTCCTTGTCCCCTGCCCTGTTTCTTACACCTATGTTCAGGGGTTGGGCCCTAGGCAAATTCCACCCCCAGCAAGGAGGGAATTCAATTCCCTAGTTTTCCCGTGAGACACGAAATGCCCTGGTCGGAGGCCATTCCATAGGGTGGCCGAGGCGGGGAGGAGGAAGGACCCGTGGGCATCACCACGACTGCATTTCTTTGGTGGGTTTGCACTCACCCATCTGGGCCTGATGGACTAGGGAAACGTGGAGTCTACAACGCTCTCGGACGCTTGAGAGATCGCGGAGACTGCTAGCTTTCCTCCTGGAGAAAGGGCGCGCCCCATGGAACCCCCCAGGCTCCTCTCCTCGACCCCCACAAACCCCGCCGGGGCCCCGAGGGACGACGCTCCCGGCCTGCGCCTTCCCGGGTCCCTCCGCAGCGCACAGCGGAAGTCAGGCCAGCCAGCAACTGGGACGCTCCCCGCTGTCGAGGCAGCGAAGTACTTCGTGGAAGCCCGGAGCATCCTCCGCTCCACAATAAGCGTGAAATAAAATCCTATCCAAAAGCACAAGGGACAGGGGATTGCCCGGTCGCCAGCCCGCCCCCCGAGGCCATCGATTGGAGGAGACGGCCCAGCGCCCGGAAGTTCTCCTTGAGTCGCATGATTGGCTGAGAAAAACAAGCTTCACCCGATTGCAGCGCTCATTGGTTGTCAGGCCCGGAACAGCCCCCAGAGTCTCGTGATTGGCCGGAGTCAGCAGGCGCTCGCTGGACTGCAGCATGATTGGTCCAGATCGCACTCTGGAGTTGCTCTTGATTGCCTGGTGACGTCCAGGGCGGGGCGCAGCGCACACGCCTAGGCCACCGCCCTTGGGCGGGTCTGGAGTCCCGGGCGGGCACGCGCGCCCGAGCTTTGCGCCTGGGCCGGGAGGGTCGTGGCGCGGCCAGGCTCAGTTGCCTCGGTAGACCTCGATCTTGCTGGCCTTGGCCAGCATGTCGATGATGTGGGCCTCGAAGTCCGCGTCGTGCACGCCCGTCTTCCGGAACTCGCCCGCGTACCGGTTATTCTCCCAGTAGTGGTGCCAGTTGCCCCGGCTGTCGGCCCCGAACCCGTACACGTTCACCTGCGGGGAAGGGCGGTGCAGGGTCAGCCCACCGCCGGGACCGTGGGGGACAGGGCGCGGCAGGGCCTCGGGTCGTGGCGGGGAGGACAAGGGCCCACAGCGACAGGACGACGGCCTGCGAGGCTGGGAGACGCAGTGGACGCTCAGGCCTGGAGCAAGGACACTCACAGGGAAGACCACCGATCCCTTACCAGTCCTTCCTTCCCCAGCCCTTGCTGACAGTTTTCTTTTGAAAAGGAGTACTTTTATCTGAAAGCTGGTCCAGTGCCCAGTCCTGCACAGTGAAGAACTTACTGGCAAAAGGGGGTGTGCCGGGTGTGAGCACTGCCCCTGCGGCACAGTAGCCCTGGCCACCCGTGAAATGGGCTTCTTTCAATGATCAACCTCCATTTTAACACAATAAGCCTGGGGCTCGGAGCTGTGGGGGAACAGCTGAAACGTAACCCCTCTTTCTGGGCTATTTATGGTTATGCTTACTTTTTCTTTCTAACAATATCATTTATGATAGTAATACTCAATTTCCTTTTTTACTAACTTTTTTTTTTTTTTGAGACAGAGTCTCACTCCAAGTGGAGTACGGTGGCATCATCACAACTCACTGCAACCTTGAACTTCTGGGCTCAAGCCATCCTCCTGCCTGGGCTTCCCAGATTGCTAGGATTACAGGCGTGAGCCACCATGCCTGGCCAGTAATTTAACTTTTTTTTTTTTTTTTTTTTTGAGATAGAGTCTCACTTTGTTGTCCAGGCTAGAGTGAGTGCCGTGGCGTCAGCCTAGCTCACAGCAACCTCAGACTCCTGGGCTCGAGTGATCCTTCTGCCTCAGCCTCCCGAGTAGCTGGGACTACAGGCATGCGCCACCATGCCCGGCTAATTTTTTTATATATATATCAGTTGGCCAATTAATTTCTTTCTATTTATAGTAGAGACGGGGTCTCGCTCTTGCTCAGGCTGGTTTTGAACTCCTGACCTTGAGCAATCCGCCCGCCTCGGCCTCCCAAGAGCTAGGATTACAGGCGTGAGCCACAGCGCCCGGCCTAAGTAATTTAACTTTTTAATGAAGTGATTTCAGATTTGTTAGAATCGGGAAAGTAACACAGTTTGGGAAATGGCAGATCTCTACTTTACAGCCTGGAGATGGGGGAAATCAAAGCCACATGGTTTCTGCCTACAAAAACACACTCCTCTGGAGGAGCTGCTAAGGCCCCAGAAGGGCTGCATTCCCTGATTCACGGGTCCCACTATTCCCCCAACTCCAGGATGGGGCCTACCCACCTCGTCACACACATGCAGGGCAAAGAAGAGCACCAGCATCCCAGTGGACGGGTATCGCCCGTGGTGCTCTGTCCACCTGTCGTGGATGTACTTGAAGAAGGCTGGGTTGTAGATCTGGACCTGGGAGGGGAAGAGGTAACAGGTGCATGAGGGTTTGGCAGCCCAGACAAAAAGGCCAGCCTCTGAGCAGCTTCTGCCACTTCCTCCGTGCTGCCAGGGCACCTGTGCCTCCGAGTCCCCTGGTTCCTGTGGCCACTGCTGGGGTCAGGCATCCCAGCAAATGGGGACTCCGCAGGTTCTGGGAAGGAACTGGGCATACCTGAGCCACAGGGCCAGGCACACGGTCAAACACTGTTCCCACTGATGTGGGGAGCTTACCTTTTCTTTGTCCACCCGAAGGAAAGACTTCACTGGGGCATAGGTGCTGTAAGTAGACAGAAAGGTAACATTTCAGATGGCCCCGTGGGACCCGTAAGTGCCTTTCCTCCTCCCCCATTCAGGCCTCACAGCTTCCAGACCAACCTGCTTCCAGGCTGTTCTCCCACTGCACGTTCACCACTGCAGACCCTGCTCAGAAGCCTTCAATGGCTCCCCACGTCATTTAGGATAAAATAGGGATGTTTTAGACAAGCACTGGGGCCTTCCATAACCCAGCTGCAAACTTTTTACCCCTCCTATATGCCGTGAGCTCTCCACAGGAGTTGGCTGATCATCTAAACCCACGTCTGTGTTCTTGCCTGTCCCTCGCCACTCCCCTCAGGCTTGCCATCAACTCCACTATCAGCCACGGCTCCTGTAACCGGCACCCTTCTCTGGGTAGCTATGGCCCTTCATCCCTACAGCTCAGCTCTCCCAGGCACAAGATAACGAACACCCTGAAGTCAGGAAACTGTAACTTACACTTTTGTGTTTAAAAAAATACTTGGTGACAATAGCCAGAAGGTAGAAACAACCTAAACGTCCACTGGTGTATAAATGAATAAGCAAAATGTGGTATATCCATACAATGGAATACTATTTAGCCTTAAACAAAACCCAGGAAATTCTGACACAAGCTACAACATGGATGAACCCTGAGGACATCATGTTAAATGAAATAAGCCAGATATGAAAGAACAAACATGAAATGACCCCACTTATACGAGGCACCTAGAATAGTCAAATTACAGAGACAGCAAGTAGAATAAGGTTACCAGGGGTTGGGGGAGGGAAGAATGGGGAGTTAGTGTTTAATGTGTACAGAGTTTCCATCTGGGGTGATAAAAAGTCCTGGAGACAGTGGTGACTGTCGTACAACAATGTGAATATACTTAATGTTACTGAGCTGTACACTTTAAAATGGTCAAAATGGTAAATTCCATATTATGTATATTTTACTACACAACAAAAATACACAGACAGAGAGTAGATTAGCGGTTGTCCCGGGCTGGGGGTGGGTGGAGTGTGGTGATGGCTAGGGGGGAAGGGGTATTTGTAGAACTTTAAAGATCTTTAAAACATGAAAATGTTCTAAAATCAACTGTGGTTGTGGTTACACAACTCTATGAATATACTAAAATTCAATAGATTGTACACCTTAAGTGAGTGGGTGAGTTGTATGGTATGTGAATTACATCTTGATAAAGCTGTTATAAAAAAAAAAACCACTTGGTGAAATGGATTTCCCATAGTTCTGGGCTGTGATGGGACCACTGCCCCCACCCCCAAAGAAAGTTCTCAGAAGGCAGAGTTCCCCAAGTCAGGAGCCACGTCCCGGAAACGAGACCCAAACCAGATGGTCCTTCCCTCACTTTTCCACCGTCAGGATGCTGGATGGCACCACGCAGGAAGTGACATGGAACAAGCTGCACCCTCAGTTAACTCACCGCTGGAAGCCCTCCCTCCTCACCAGCCCCTCTTGGTCAAAATGTTCAATTAAAGGAATTGGCACAATCCAGTCCCCGGAAAGCCCCCTCCCAAGGTGATCCTGTCACCCATGTTCCCTCCCAGCAACCAAGAGGCTCACAATCGGATCTGCCCCGTGGACAGGGCACTGGCGATCCACAGCAAGTCCAGGGCCTTGAAGGGCACCAGCACAAAGCTGACGTTGGCGGGCAGGTTCTTGGCACTCTCAGGGTACATGAAATGGTGGGTGGTTCGGCTGCCAACATCCTGCTCAAAGCCCACAGTTGGCGCCTGATTCATCCTGCAGGGAGGAGAGGGTGACATGAGAATCAACTGCCATGGAAACTGGTACAAGATTTTTAGAGGACAATGTGGTGCTATCCATCAAAAATTTAAACGGGTGTATGCTTTGACCCAGCAGTTCTACTTCTAGAAATCCTATAAAAATAACCGCACAGGTGTACAAAGACATGTGTACAGGATATTCAATGTAGTATTATTTATAATAATAAAAAGTAGAATCAAGGCCAGGCATGATGGCTCATGCCCATAAACCCAGCACTATGGGAGGCCAAGGTGGGAGGATAACTTGAGGCCAGGAGTTCAAGACCAGCCTGGACAACATAGTGAGACCCTGTCGCTAAAAAGAAATAATTAAAAGTTTTAAAAAATGAGCTGGGTGTGGTGGCATGCGCCTGTATTCATAGCTATTCAGGAGGCTTGAGCCCAGGAGTTGGAGTGAGCTATGAATTGTACACCATACTCCAACCTGGGTGACAGAGCGAAACCCTGTCTCTAAAAAAAATGAAAATTTAAAAGTATCAAATTAAACAATAGAGGCTGGGCAAAGTGGTGATTGCCTATAGTCCCATCTACTCAGGAGGCTGAGGCAGGAGGATTGCTTGAGCCCAGGAGTTTGAGGCTGCTGTAAGCTACATTGTACCACTGTGCTCTGGCTAGGGTGGGTGTCACCACAGAGCAAGACAGTCTTAAAAAAAAAAAAATAAAGAAAAAGAACTGTTTAATACACTTTGGCATATTCATACAATGGAATAGCACGTGGCCGTCAGAATGAATGAAGTAGATTTACATGTGCTAGTAAAAAAAGAGATATTGTATGAAAAAAAAAAAGTGGTGTTAATCATCCTTCTTTTTTTTTTTTTTTGAGACAGAGTCTCACTCTGTTGCCCAGGCTAGAGTGAGTGCCGTGGCGTCAGCCTAGCTCACAGCAACCTCAAACTCCTGGGCTCAAGCAATCCTCCTGCCTTAGTCTCCCAAGTAGCTGGTACTACAGGCATGCGCCACCATGTCCGGCTAATTTTTTCTATATCTATTAGTTGGCCAATTAATTTCTTTCTATTTATAGTAGAGATGGGGTCTCACTCTTGCTCAGGCTGGTTTTGAACTCCTGACCTTGAGCAATCCGCCCGTCTCTCGGCCTCCCAGAATGCTAGGATTACAGAATTGAGTCACCGCGCCCAGCCTAATTGTCCTTCTTTTAATATATGTCTTTTAGTACTTACCTTGTGCAGGAGGAAATTACAGCAAAGGGAAAACAAAAACATACTTTTACATATGAACAGAAAAAGTCTAGATTATTATTAAAATTGTTAACAATGGTTACCCTCAGGATTGGGGGAATTAATTTTTTTGTATACATTTCTGTTTGTGTTTGGGTGTTTCTGATTTTTTTTTTTTTGAGATAACTGTAATCTAAAAATATTTATTTTTTGCAATGAGGACTTGCTATATTGCCCAGGCTGGTCTTCAACTCCTGGGCTCAAATGATCCTCCCACCTCAGCCTTCCAAGTTGCTACGATTACAGGTGTGAGCCTCGGTGCCCAGCTTATAATTTTTTTTAAAGAAAGAACATGACAGCCTTCCACAGCTTCCACCTTACCTGGCTGTTCTGCCCTCTCCATTTGACGACAGTGAAAGAAAGATAGGAAGGTTAAGCATTCCCTCGGCCCCTGGGCTGGATGGAAGCCTCTGTTCTGCTACCGCCAGCCTGTGCCTGTACTCCCAGTCCCTGTCTGCCCTTCCACTCCAAGGCCAGGAGGCATGCCCGGCATTCTGAGGGTGACCGCCCTGGCTGTCTTTCAGGTGACATGCAATGTGCCATCTCTCCTGGTTTCCAGACAGTGAGCACAGGCTTCCCATCTCCCCACAGGTAGCAAGCCAAGAAGGCTTCCATTTCCTTTCAATTCGTGCAAAACACAGCATAAGTAAAATCAAAGCTCCCCTTTTGGTTAGCACCTTACATAAAAGATAAACCAGCTGTTAAACATGTACCTGTTGGTCCTGTCTTTTCTGCTAAGACTGTTTATGAGGACATTCCTGTCTCGCATAGACCATCTGGTAGAATCATGACCACCAAAGTGGAGTAAGGGTGACTGTAACCTGGTCATCCCCTGGGGACACCGAGACCCAGGAGGGGGAGAGAGAGAGAGATCCTCCGTGTCTCTCCCAGCTTTCTATGCCACTTCTAATACAACCAGCACAAACGGTCCCTGTCCTTGCAGCGGCTGGACCATCTGGCTGGCTGGGTGAGGACTCCCTGGGCTGCAAGGGCTCCCACACTGGCTGCCGCATTCCCGTCACTCAGTGAGGGGACTGGGAGGGCCACGGGCTGTGCCATCCAGGATGCTCCCTGCTGGTCACGTCACCATGTCTCCTACCTCTGTTTTCCCTTCCCTTAAGGGCCTGGAGGATGCTTTCGAATGGGAGGCCCTAAAGGCTAGAAACTGAGTCTTTGTTCTTAATGTTACACTTTAGTTCTAGTCTGGTTCAAGCAGATGCCTAGAATCTTCCCTACAGACCCCAATGTGCTCTGTCCCCCATGACACGATCTAGCACCTGCCTCCCTCCCCAAACCCACGCCTTCTGATGAACTGCCCCTCTGCCTCCTGTGTGGGTGCCCCTCTGGTCTACTGGTCCTTAGGGTTCAGTGACACCGTCTCCTAGAGGAACCAGGAAGCATCTTGTTCTACCCATGTGGGCTGCTATAGCTCCACACAAAGGCGCTGGCGTCCTGTGGTCACCACAGCCACATCTGCCTCCCGCCAGTCGCCCCGGGGTCTGTGAGAAACAGGCAGGCTGGGGAGGAAGCCTTGTCAGGGCATGGCCCCAGAGATGGTGGGGAAATGTCTCTCCGCTGCCATCTCCGGGCGATGGCAAGGGGTAAGCAGGAGGTGGAAGACCTGGGTTGGGGACACTCGGGTTGGCTGGGACCTGGGCTGGGGTCAAGGCGTACTCCTGTGAGGACCTAAGAAACTTCATCTCACTCAGTGGAGAGGCCAACCCGGTCCTGCAGATCCAAGGGCTGCAGCTGCCCCGGGTTGGCTTCCGAAGACCCACCCCACCTGCCTCCTCCACTGAATTGGCAGCCCGAGCTTTCATAAAGTCCCTCCTCGGACCTGTCAGCCAGGATCACGCTGCCCCCTACACTGCCCTCCGCCGTTGGCCAGACACCAGCTTTGAAACGCCTGGCAATGAAGGAGCGAGAGGTCCCAGCAAAGTTTCACAGCCTTCAAGGCAAAGGGAAGGAACACGGCACTCTAATGGGGACGAGATTTTGTTTTGAGGGTCTGATTCACTCCAGAGCAGCCAAGCCCTGGAAAAGGGCAGAGCAGGACAGAGGATGAGCCATATATCTGGGACTCGGTAACAAAGCATTCTAGAAATCAAGCTGTCCCTGGCTGCCTCCAGCGGCCAAAGAAGCTCTTGGGGGCAGGGGCACAGGCAGAGGGGATGCGCTCTTGTTTAGGGCTTGGTGTCTGGCTGCCTAGTCGCTTTCTTTCATTCATCTGTTTATGGGGTATCTACTATCTCCCAGGCACTGTTCTGGAAGCTGTGGACGTATCTTCTGGCCGGCTGAGGCCGGGACAGCTCAACTCCATTTGGGTAGTCGGCAGGGCTGAGGAAATACGAGGAACAGGAGGCAGCTGGGAGGGGGCGGAACTGGTGGGTCAGGCCACTGTCCCACCGTAACTCAGCTCAGCACTCCCAGTGGGTCTTGCCCAAGTTGGTCTTGTTTCCAGGACAGGAAGCCTCCCCACTGGTTCCAAGCCATGATATGCCCGCAAGCAGAGTCCCCTCCACTGTCGTCTGCCTCCGTGGACCAGCAGACCGCCAACCACCACCTGGCTCGCCCCTTCCAGAAAGCGGTTCTGGGGCCCACTCCACACCACCACAGCTCCTAGCCTGGCCCCTGTGAGGGAGCATCTGCGAATTCCTTTCTTCCACCCGGCCTGCCCGGGTACCACCCAAGTGTCACAAGCAGCCAAACCTTTTGGGTCAACAGGGTCTCCGCCCTGGAGCTTCCCACCCATCACTGAGGCGCCGAATGAAGCTCTCACCTGGTGCCGGTGGCCGGGGAGGCAGGCGTTTCAGCCACCTGAGAACATCTTCCTGGCTTCCCAAGTGCCCCAGGGCCGCACTGGAGTGATGGACGCCTCATTCCCCAGCCTCGGCCAGGCCACCGGCTCTGGGTGGAGAGAGGCCCCTCTCCAGCTCCCATCCCACCTCCCTCCCATTTGGGGAGCTAGCAGTTGCAGACGGGGATATTCTCAGGTGGCTCTGGGGTTCTGGATGGGGTTCATTCTCCTCTCTCCCCCATTGGCCACCGTTTCCCAACATGGGGAAGGTCTTGCAAGGAACGCTGAAAACCTCAGAGACATACTGCTACCTCGGTGTTGCTATGGCGACAGCAACAGTTTCTAAGACAAAGCCCTTCCTCCCGCCTCCCGGGAAACCTGGTCTCTCTGCAACGCTCATCCTGCGAGATGCGTGAAAACTGGGCATTTTCAGCATCTCTAGTCTTCAGGCTCTTCCTCCACCAAGGAGGGGGGCTGGAAGGATGCCACCGTGGCATTTCCTGTCCCCAGCCAAAAAAGGAAGTTGAAACACACAGGCTCAGGAGCAGAAGCAGACAGCAGCCGTGACTCCCTGTTCACGCCCAGCCTTGGTTGCTCTGCGTCTCTGTCTGGACCGAACGCCCACCCAACCCTCTCCCTCTCCTCACAGCTGGGCACAGATGTCTTCCAATGAACGAGCCCAGAACAAGCAGCTTTTGCGCCCAGGACCTCTGTCCTCTGTGAGTTTGCCAGAAAGAATCACCTGTTGCTGTGAAGCAAGACGCTAGTTTGGTTTGGGGCTGTTGCTCCTGTCCAACTGCTGGGGAGACGGGGAGGGGAGGAAGGGCCTCTGGTGGGATTTTTCACCAAACATCAGGCAGGGATCTGGTTTCAGCTCTTTACAGAGAATTCAGACCCTTGGAAACTGAGTGTTGGCCTCAAGCAAAGTTTAGCTTTGGAATTCTGCCTCCCCATCCACTGCCAATGGACAAAGGAGAGCTGAGCCTGTTCTACAAGGATCTGGGTGTCGGGGTCCCACAGCACCCCCCCGCAGCTGGCAACCCATACCCTGCCAGACAAGGCCAAGGAGGCCAGAGCCCCTGCTGGGGGCTTGTCGGGGCGCACCTGCAGGCCCCGCAGGGGCTCACCTCATGACGAAGTTGTGTCCGTCCACGTCCTGCCCGTAGCCAGAGCCCCGCAGGTTGCCGGAGTTCCCCACCACGGCGCAGCGCCGGCACTGGTGGGGGTCCCGGACGCGGTAGGGGTTCTCCCCCGGCACGATCTGGAACAGCTTCTCCAGCACCTCGTTGGTGTTGTGCGATTTGAACTGGGGCTGCAACATCTGCGGAGGGAGCGCAGAGGCGCGTGAGCTGGGGGGCTCCCGCCTCCCTTGCTCTGCCCCCGCCCTCTAGCGTCCGGGCGCACGGACCTCCTCACCCAGGGCTGTCAGGGAGTGGGGGCTCTCTCTGAGCAGGAGGACCCTCCTCTCTCTCAACAGCACAGGCCCTGGTCCTGCGTGAGTCTCACTGATCAGGCAGCGGAGGGGCCCTGCTAGCCACAGAGCTGCCGAGGCACTGGAGGGCGCTCGGGTCAAGCTGCCAGGCAGCACATTCTCCAGGGACCCGCAGGCCTGTGCCGCCGAGCAGGGCGGCTTCGCTCAGGGGCTCCTTCCCAATCAGCCGACAGGAGGCGCCCCTGGGACTCAGCCTGCTGGCTGGGGGCTGCCAAAGCGGCTTCCAGGCCTAGCCTGTTCGCCGGCATCCATCTCTGCCCAGAGTCCTGTCCTGGCCCCATACGGCCACCACTGAAACTAAGACCTTGGGCGAACCCTGGGTCCTCTCTGAACCTTGACACTTCCCCCATAAACGAAGGCCTTGCCTCTGAACAAGAGGCAGGACCCTTTGAGGGCATCCTCAGAGGCTCCTTCCCAATCAGCCTTCAGGGGGTACCCCGTGGGGTCCTGGTGACCCCCCTCTGCAGACCCCAGTCTTGGACACTCTGGGTCAAAGGCAGGCTCTGCGGAGTGGTTCAGATAAGCCTGATCACATGAGCTCATCCTCATGTTGTCCCTGAACTCAGAAAAGGGCAAGTCGGGCTCCCTGAGAGCTGAGCAGGGAAAGCAGGGAGCCTGTGGCGGGCCCCACCCTGGCCCCCACCCATGTGGCAACCAGATGGCCTGCAGAGGCTGGGGAGCGATGCTGCCAAGGCTGCAGGGTGAGGTGGAGGAAATTAGAAGGAGCAGAAAGGTGACCGACTGGAAGGACAGGAGGACCTGTGCACAGAATCCCTAGCTGCCCCTTCAGCTCCCTTGGGCAGGACACGATGCTTTCTCATCCCAGCCACAAAGAAGTCTTTTCCAGCAATTGCAAAGAATGAGGCAAGTGGCTCTTGTGGTATTTGCAATTATTTTGAGCCAACATTTACAAATCGGGGTATTTAGTTTAAAAATCTGGGCCGGGCGCAAGGGCTCACGCCTATAATCCTAGCACTCTGGGTGGCCCAGGTGGGCGGACTGCCCGAGGTCAGGAGTTGGAAACCAGCCTGAGCAAGAGCAAGACCCTGTCTCTACTATAAATAAAAAATAGAAATTAATCGGCCAACTAATATATATAGAAAAAATTAGCCAGGCATGGTGGTGCATGCCTGTAGTCCCAGCTACTCTGGAGGCTGAGGCAGCAGGATCGCTTGAGCCCAGGAGTTTGAGGTTGCTGTGAGCTAGGCTGAAGCCACGGCACTCACTCTAGCCTGGACAACAAAGTGAGACTCTGTCTCAAAAAAAAAAAAAAAAAATCTGGATTTCTGGGTTCTCTTAACAGGTCAGCACATGCAGCAGTGTGGGCTGCAACCTTGCACATCAACAGCCACTGGGGCCCGGGGCTGCCCCCCTCACAGAGGCAGGCCTCCCCAGACAGTGCTCCTCACTTCCCACCGTCTTCCCTGAGGACCTGTCCTCTTACCAGGCAACCTGCCAGGTGCAGTAGGCACTTCTGGTCTATGCCTGGCTCCTACAGGCACTAGAAAATACTAGTTCTCTCTCCTTCCAGGTGAAAGTTTGCTCTGCCCTCCAGTCATCTGTGATCCTGGCATACGGCTCTGGGGGCCAGAAGACAGCCCAAATCCAAGAGGGGGTTCTAAGAGCGACTCCCAATCAGAGGGACAGATCCCTGGAGAGGGGGTGGCACAGGGGAGGCAGGAGGGGCCACAGCGCTCACCATCCACCACCTCTGGACATCCGGGGGAAGATCCATGTTCTCTCGGGTCCAGACGGGGGAGATGTTGCTGTCGAAGTGGCTGTCAAACCAGTCCGAGGTGCCCGTGTCGCCCATGCAGCGGCGGCAGGCGCAGCTCTTGCCCGAGAGCCCCTCCTTGCTGAGGCGCTGCAGGCCGGCATAGCCGGGCACCAGCTTCACCCGGTGGGTGCTGCCCAGGGCCCCCGAGTCCAGGTAGGGCAGGGTAGCCATGCTGTGGTGCGAGTAGGTGAAGAGCAGGGACATGATGAACACCAGCAGGAAGGCCACCGAGAGGAACCACACCCGCAGGGAGCACTTCATGGTGCCGGCGGGCAGGCAGCCGTCACCGCGGCCACTCCTTTCCCAGCCCGCTGAGGGGCCAGCCACGGCACAGTCTGCCTATCCTGGCACCACGTGCAAAGGGCATAGGGGCACGTGCCGCGGCAGGGGACAGCGGCAGGGGTCCCTCGCCCACGCCCTCCTTCAAGGTAAGGAGAAAGCACGTCAGCAGGAGTGGCTGCCCTGTCCCAGAGCCACTCGGGCCCCTGCTTAGGGCTTCATCGGGTCTCTCCGTCACTAGCTGGGCCACAGGGGCTCTGCCCCTCCTGCTGCCCTGGCGAGGGGGAGGTCAGTCCATCCCAGCCCTCTAGTCCCTTGGGATTTCTGGCTGCCAGCTCTGGGGGGCCCCCTCTTTGGTGGCTTGAAACAATCCAGTCTGGAGCAGTTAGGGTCCTTGTGGCTCATGGGCAGATACTGAGGCAGCCCCTCGTCCCCTGCTTCGGGGAAGCCCTCGTCCTCCAATCACACCAGAGCGAGCATGGGCTTCAGGGGGCCCGGTTCCCAGCAAGAGTCATCCCCAGCTTGGACGGTCCAGCCCCTCTGCCAGGGGAGGGCAACCAAAACCCAACCCTGAGAAGAGAAAAACAGGAAGCGCCAGGGGTGTCGGAAAACTCTGCGATAGAGACCAAGATCCTCCTTATGTTAGGTTCTGCCCTACTGCTTGCCATCCGAGGTGCTGGTCCCTTCTCCTGGGGGCCACCGCCCCAGCTGCAGTCCCATACGGGTCTCGAAGCTCCTGCCCCTGCGGTGGGGTCCTCTGGTGCTGGGAACAGCTGCTGCTCAGCGGAGAGCCTCGTCCAACACGTCTCATCAGCCGAATGTGCACCGAGCTCCCCACGAGGGCCCAGGCCGCCTCCCTGGCGTTGCTAGCTGAGGCTGGGTGGCTGCTCTGCCCATCCCCGCTCCCCCGGGGCCAGCCTGTCTTGCCGTTAGCGCACAGTAATCCCCTGGCAGGTTCCCCTCACTTGCCAGGCGCCAGGCTGCCGCAGCGCGACCCTGAAATTGCAGACAGGAAAAACAATGTGCAGATAAGTCACACAGGCACCCAGGCTCTGCTCCAGCCCCACCCCCAAGTCCCAGAGGGACAAAGCTAGCAGTCGAGGAGACGTCCACTTAATCAGAGGGTGGACAAAAGCAAGGGCTCTCCCCTCTAACTCCTCACAGATGGCATCGCTCTGCGGGACTCCGGGGCTTTGGCAGACTAGATTACCCCTGGGTCCTCACTTGTTAGCCAGGCAGCAAACAAGGAATAGGGTGAAGTAATTTTCCCCGAGTCTCACAAGTCCCTGGAAGTACCAGGTTTACAAAGTTCCTAGTCCAGCTATGTGCAGTTAATTTCAGTGAAACCTAAGAGAAAACGGCCCAGAGAAGATCCCAGGGGACTGTGAACACTGACTCCCTGACACAGTGCTCTAGAGGCCCCTCCCAGAAAGAAGGATGAGCTGGGCCTGGTCCCTGTGACTGCCCCTCTCCTCCCCGCTGTGGATTACAGAGGAGGCATTGCTGGGTAAGCCTGGTGAACCATGAACAATCCTCCCAGCTCTGGTGCTGGGGCAGGATGGGGCTGTGTCAGGAGACGGGGTTGCGGGGCTGGGTACCACACCACCAACTAGCCCTCTGGGCAGCTGCCTCCATCCATCTGTACACTAGGGATGAAAGGCACTGCGGGGTCCCTGGGAGAGCTTGCAGCCTGAGGCCCCATGCTGCCCTGGCACGCAGGAACAGGGAGAAGAAGCCACCTGCGGGGCAGTTTGGGTATCAGCCCTGAGGAAAGGAGCCTGAATCCTCACCAGCACCGGGGAGCCTCAGCAAGAGCTAGAAAGCACACTAAGAGGGGAGCCCTGAGCACTGGGCCCACCCACAGGAGTCCTGTGAGCAGGGCCACCTCCCCTCTCCCTATGGCCCCCTCTGCAAATCTGGCAAGCCAGGTTCTAACCTGGCCACTGGCCCAGCCCCTCTCCCTCCCTCTCCTTGCTGAAGCTCTAGCCCTTCCACGGTTCTCTGGCTGCTGCCAACAGCTGCAGAGAAGGTCCCTCAGGCTCTGTGTTCAAGAAACCCAGCTGGCCCCTCCACTTGTGGAGGCTCGAATTTCTAAGGCCAAGCCAAACCACAAAACCAGCAGGGAACGGAACTAGCACGTTGCAGTAAAGAGGATGTTATCCTGGGTAGCAAAACGATGCTCACTCAGCATCAAAAATGGAAAATAAGTAAAGGAACTTACCAAAGGCCACAACCTTGTGAGTGGAGGTGAGCTTGGGACAGCCGGGGCACAGAAAGAAGCCCATGGGCTCCTTGAACTACCCAGGGCTCAAGGGTGAGAGGGGAAGAAAGCCACAGAGCTGGCTTCCGAGGTCAGGAGCGAGGCCCACCCACGGGCTCTCATCCACGCAGACCCCAGCAGCACTGGCTCAAATGTGCTTCCCCCAATGTCCCACTGTGCCCCCAACTTAGCAGGTCCCACTCTAGGCACAGCCTTGGCTGAATGGTCTGTAACTAGGAAGCCAGGTCATGGTCCCTGCTGACCCTCCCTTTGCCCGCTGCCATGCCCAGTGCCTAAGGAAAAGGACTCGGCGTTTCAGGGTCCTGCCCCCAGGTCCCGTGGAACTGGGCAGAGGCAGTCCTGAGCCAGGTGGCCCTGGGAGGCAGAATCCTTGCAGGCTGGGCCAGTGGTAGGACCCCTGCTGGGGACACCTGGCTTCTGGCAGGGCAGCCCCACTGTGGCCACTGCAGATGGGGGCTGGGCAGAAGCTGGCACAGGCAGCAGCTCAATCAAGGAAGTCACTGACTCCTTGGGATTCTAAATCAACACAGGGGGCACCCGAGGTAACTGCACTGCCTGCTGGGGAGAGGAAAATCCCTCGTTTCAACAACACGTTTGGGAAAAGCACAGAAGTGGAGCAGCTGGCAAAGGCCCTTGCTTTGGGAACCCCACGTCCAGGCTGTTCCTGGGAGCTTAAGCTGATCTACTTGTTGTGTTGAGAGTAAATGGAGGCACAAATTCGGACTAAAACAAACAAAAAAAACATCAGAGGCTGCTAGACATGCACTGAAACTGCCAGAAGTCACCCAGCGCTGACCCTCGCACTTCTCCCTCTTGCCTGTTAAGTCTCCGTAGCCCTCAGCTGCGCACAGCCTAACTGGGATCGCCCCCCTTCATTCAGGATAAGCCCACGTATACCGGATATGAAAAGCTCAGGGGAAGGCACAGTTCAGCACTGGTCCCCACTCCTGGTGCCAGCAGAGGGATGCGGGCCAGTACTCCTGGGCCACCTGGCTGGTGGAGGAGCCTGTGTGCGCACTGGGCAGACACTGAGGGGCCAGCGCTGGGCCAGGGAGGAAGTGTGGAACAGGACAGCATGCACCCAGCCCTGTCCTCAGGGAGCTTACAGTCCAGCGGCGAATACAAAGACACAGGCAATTACAGAGAGCCAGGAGAGAGAACAAGAGAGCAAAGGGCTTGAGCAGCAAAGCAGCCTGGCCTGTTAAAAGCACAGCAAGGCCAACAAGGCAGGAAGGATGTCAAGAGGAAAGTTGGGAGGCTTGCAGCCTCAGAGAAGTTTGGATTTATTATGAATCTGATGGGAGGGTTTTGAGATGTGTCGCAACCTGATTTATACTTTATTTTATTTATTTGTTTGGTTTTTTTGAGACAGTCTCGCTTTGTTGCCCAGGCTAGAGTGAGTACTGTGGCATCAGCCTAGCTCACAGCAACCTCAAACTCCTGGGCTCAAGTAATCCTTCTGCCTCAGCCTCCCAAGTAGCTGGGACTACAGGCATGCGCCACCATGCCCGGCTAATTTTTTCTATATGTATTAGTTGGCCAATTAATTTTTTTTTTTATTTATAGTCGAGATGAGGTCTCGCTTTTGTTCAGGCTGGTTTCAAACTCCTGACCTGAAGCAATCCGCCCACCTCGGCCTCCCAGAGTACTAGGATTACAGGCGTAAGCCACCACGCCCGGCCTATTTTATTTATTTCTTTTTTTGAGACAGAGTCTCACTTTGTTGCCCAGGCTAGAGTGAGTGCCATGGCGTCACGTCAGCCTAGCTCACTGCAACCTCAAACTCCTGCGCTCTAGCTCTTGGGAGGCCGAGGCGGGCGGATTGCTCAAGGTCAGGAGTTCAAAACCAGCCTGAGCAAGAGCGAGACCCCGTCTCTACTATAAATAGAAAGAAATTAATTGGCCAACTGATATATATAAAAAAAATTAGCCGGGCATGGTGGCTCATGCCTGTAGTCCCAGCTACTGGGGAGGCTGAGGCAGCAGGATTGCTTGAGCCCAGGAGTTTGAGGTTGCTGTGAGCTAGGCTGACGCCACGGCACTCACTCTAGCCTGGGCAACAAAGTGAGACTCTGTCTCAAAAAAAAAAAAAAAAAAAAAAAAAACTCCTGCGCTCAAGAAATCCTCCTGCCTCAGCCTCCCGAGTAGCTAGGACTACAGGCGTACACCACCATGCCCGACTGATTTTTTTCTATATGTTTTTAGTTGGCCAATTAATTTCTATTTTTAGTTGAGATGGGGTCTCGCTCTTTTTCAGGCTGGTTTCGAACTCCTGACTTTGAGCGATCCTCTGCCTCAGCCTACCAGAGTGCTAGGATTGCAGGCGTGAGCCACTGTGTCTAGCCCGAATTATACTTTAAAATTGACCTCGGAGCAATTTTTTTTTCTTAAGAGACGAGGTTTCACTCTGTTGCCCAGGCTGGAGTGCAATGGCATGATCATAACTCACTGCAGCCTCTAATTCCCAGGCTCAAGCAATCCTCCTGCATCAGCCTCCTACATAGCTGAAACTACAGGCACACACCACCATGCCTGACTAAAAGACAGGGTCTTGTTATGTTGCCCAGCCTGGTCTCAAACTCCTGGGCTCAAGCAATTATCCCATCTTGGCTTCCCAAAGTACTGAGAATACAGGCCTGAGCCACCGTGCCCAGCCTAGCATACTGTAACTTATTGTTGACCAGAGTCACCTTGCTGCGCTATCAAACATTGTTCATTCTATCTAACTGTATTTTTGTACCCATTAACCACCCCTACATTATCCTTCCCATCCCTAGTGTTCTTCCCAGCCTCTGGTAACCATCATTCTATTCTCTGTCTCCATGAGATCAACTGTTTTAATGTTTAGCTCCCACATATAAGAACACAAGAAATTTGTCTTTCTGTGGTTGCCTTATTTTACATAACGTAACGTTCTCAAGTTCCATCTGTGATGTTGCAAATAACAGGATTTCGTTCTTTTTCATTGCACTGTGTATATGTACATTTTCTTTATTCATCCATTGATGGACACTTCAGTTGATTCCAAATCATGGCTATTGTGAATAGTGCTGCAATAAACATAGATAAGAGTGCAGGTATCTTTTCAATATACTGATTTCCTTTCTTTTGGATACATACCTAACAGTGGGATTGCTGGGTCATATGGTAGATCTACTTTTAGGGTTTTGAGGAACTTCCACTCTGTTCTCCATAGCAATTGCACTAGTTTATGTTCCCACCAACAGTGTTTGAGGGTTCCCCTTTCTCCACATCCTTGCCAGCATTCATTATTGTCTTTTGAATAAAAGTCATTTTAATTTGGGTGAGATCCTATCTTATTGTAGTTCTGATTTGGAGAAACTATTTTTAAAAAACTAACAGTACCAAGACTTTGGAGAGGATGTGGAATAGTAAGAACACTTAAGACATCAGTGGTGGGAACGGAAAGTGGTATAACCCTTTGGAAAATAATTTGACATTAGTTAACAAAGATGGACATGAGTATATCCCAGTTTTTTTTAAGAGGAAATAAAAGTCATCTTTCTTACATAAAATATGGTGTGAGAACACAATGAGACAAGATTAACCCAGTCATCCCGGGTTAATTTGTTTAATGACTTTCCACGCACATAGTCATCCTCAGAGATTGTTTTCTCCTTCAAGTTTGGGTGGGAAGGAATGGTTTCTCACCCAAAGGTATTTAGAGTCACTAAATTACAAAGTCAGTGAGTTCTGAGTGTCTGTCCTGCTAAGCAGATCTGAAGTTTATGATGAATCCCAACAATGAGGTTAATATAGCGTTTCACGGTCCTCCAAAATCTCACTCAGGTCACTCTTGCTCCCACTTTTTTATGTTTAATTCATATATAATAAAATGCAGAAATCTTTCATTGTAAAGCTTGTTGAACTTTCTGTATGTCTACACCTGTGTGGCCACCCAGTTTAAGAAACAGAACATTTCCACCACTTCAAAAAGCTCCCTTTGCTCCTTGCCAGTTAATACCCACTGCTCCACCACTTTTCTGACTTCTGTCACTGGAGGTTAGATTTATCTGCTCTTGAACTTCATATAAACATGCACTACATACTCATGTGTATCTGGCTCCTTTTGCTCAGCATCATTGATTTGGAAATTCATTCATGTTGTTATCCACATCATTAGTTTGTTCTTTTCCATATTTGAACACTTGAATTGTTTCCAGTTTTGGGGTGCTATGACTAAAAACTACATGAACTTCTCATACAAGTCTATTTGTGGGGACATCCTCTTATTTCCGTTGGGTAAATACCTGGGAGTAGAATTGCTGGGTCATTGGACAGGCATATGTTTAACTTTCCTAGAAATTATCAAATAGTTTTCCAAAGTGGTTGTAGTATTTTGCATTCCCACCAGTAATGTATGAGAGCTCCATTTGTTCCATGGCCTTGATATTTTTAATCTTTTTAATTTCAGGCATTCTGGTGGGTGTCTAGCAAACTCTAGTATTACTACTACCAAGTACGTGTGAACCTGTGCACCAGGAGACCTGTACAGCACTGTGTAATAGCCAAAAGCTGCAGACAACCCACATCTGTCACAATAGAATGAACTGTGGTACATTCGTAACATATAGTAAATTGAAACAATTCCAGTTTCAGACATCAACAGGGATGAGTATGACCCAAAAACCATTATGTTGCACAAAAAGAGTAAGTCATGAGTAAATGCTCACAGCATAAATCCATGAAAAGTTAAAAAAAAATATGCAAAGCTAAGCAAGACATTGTGTATGCCTCTATTTATAGATAATAAAACGATAGAAACTATCAAGGAAACAACACAAGATTCAGGAAATCCTGCTGGAGGAGGAAGGCAGGTCGATGAGATCTCAGAGGGGCTCCCAGTGGCTTCAGCAGTGCTGGGTAATGTACCCCTTAATCCAGGTAGTGGATACAAGCACATTTTTTACAGTTATTCTTTAAGGAGCACACATATGATACATACTATTTTGAATGTGTGATGCATTTCATAATAAAATCTAAAATTATTTTAGGTTAAAACATGTTTCATTAAGAGACCACTCTGGCTGCTGTGTGAGGCTAGCAGGGAGACCAAAGGAGAGGCCATACCCCAGGCAGCAGAGGTGGTGAGAAGTGGATGGATATATTCTGAAGGGGCAGATGGAAGGTGTAGGGGGTGGGGATAGGAGGCAGACAGGAACCAAGGAGACACAGAGGCTGTGGCCTGAGCAACCTGCTTGAGGGGGTGTCATTCACTGACACAGAAAAAACAGGAAATTAATGGGCTCAGATGGGAAGAAACTAGAGCTCTGTGAGAGGTTAAATATAAGATGCCTTTTAGACATCCATGTGCAACTGGCAATAGGCAGTGAGACACACCTGTCTGAAGCTCATGGCTAAGGCGAGAGTCAGAGGGGTACATCTGAGAGTCATCAGAGTCTAGTTCATTTTTAAAACTACAAGACCAGAAGATCTATCTAGGGAGGGCCTGACATGGGCAAGAGAAGGCAGCCCCAGACAGAGTCCAGGGCACCCCAATGTCTAAATGAGAGGCCGGCACAGAGCCAGGAAAGAAATAGCCAGTGAAGGCAGGGGGAAAATCAGCACTGTGTGTGGGACGCCAAAGAAGAAAGAGTTTCAAGAATGAAGGAGGCTCTGGGAGGCTGAGGCAGGTGGAATGTTTGAGCTCCAGAGTTCAAGACCAGCCTGAGCAAGAGTGAGACCTTGTCTCTACTAAAAATAGAAAGAAATTAACTGGCCTACTAAAAATATATAGAGAAAAAATTAACCGGGCATGGTGGGGCATGCCTGTAGTCCCAGCTAACTTAGGAGGCTGAGGCAGGGGGATCCCGTGAGCCCAGGAGTTTGAGGTTGCAGTGAGCTAGGCTGACGCCGTGGCACTCTAGCCCGGGCAACAGAGTCAGACTCTGTCTGGGGGGGAAGAAAAAAGAATGAAGGAGGAACTAACAGTGTTAAATGTTGCTGTAAAAGTAATGCGAGGACTGAGAACTGACCACTGGATGTAGGTCAGCAGTGACCTTTGCAATGGCTGATCCAGGGGTATGGCAAGATGAAAAAGGCCAACAGGCACAGGAAAAGATGTTCAACGTCATTAGTCATCAGAAACGCAAATGGAAACCACAATCAGACACCACTTCCCACCCACCAGGATGGCTGTCATCAAAACGACAGATAATATCAAGTGCTAGCGAGGAAGGGCACACACTGGAGCCCTCATACTTTGCTGGTGGGAATGTGAAATGGTGCAGTCGTTTTGGAAAACAGTCTGGCAGTTCCTCAAAAGGTTAAACACGGTCACTATATGACTCAGCAATTCCACTCATAGGTATATACCCAGGAGAAATGAAAATTAGGTCCACATAAATACTTGTACACAAATGATTTACAGCAGCACTATTCATAATAGCTCCAAAGGAGAAAAAACTTCAAAGTTCCACCAACTGATAAACAAAATGTGGTATACCCTTACAACTGAAGATTATTCAGGCAGCAAAAGGAACGAAGTTCTGACATATCCCAGAGCATGGATGAACCTTGAAAACGCTGTGCTAAGTGAAAGAAGCCGGCCACAAAAGGTCTCCTATTGGGTGATTTATATGAAATGCGTAGAATAGGCAAATCCATATACACAGAAAGTAGATTATTTTTCACCAGGGGATGGGGAACGATTGCTAGTGGTTTGGAGTTTCCTTTCGGGGTGATGAAATGTTGTAAAATTGCTTGTGGTGAAGGTTGCAGAACAATGTGAACAGACTAAAAGCCACAGACTTGTGCACTTCAAATGGATGGACTGTACGGTATGTGAATTCTGTCTAAACAGAGATGTTATTTAACAAGGAGGGAATGGGATGTCAGAAAGTGGACTGGGGGTTCGGTTGGGAGAGATTACAGAATGTGTGTACACTGATGGGAATGAATCAGTAGAGAGGATAGATTAAGGATGCAGGAAAAGGGGCTGAGGAGCAAAGCCCTTAGCAGGGAGGTAGGATCAGATGCCCACCTGGAGAGAGGCCACCTGAGGGACAGGAGGCAAAGCAGAGGAGAGGGGCACAGACAGGGAGAGGAGGGGCTGGAGATTCACAGAGAGATCAGACAGCCTTCTGAGAGAGAAGGGGAGTAACGAGGGAAATGTAGTAGGTGGCAAGGCAATGCTAGGGTCTTATAAGAGGTTTGTGGCCACAAATTTGGCAAATTTGAGACGACCATTTAACAACAAACATCCCCTGAAAGGCTAGTCTGTCTCGAGTTGCTGAGGCTGAACAAAGAGACTAGCAGCCAGGATCCAAGATGTCAGCAGAGCAAGCGTCTTGGGGAGTGGATGAGCCCATCTCCCTGCAGCCCCCCAGCTGCCACTCATCAGGGGTGCACTCTTGAGCTACTTCCACTGGGACAAGGAACCAGGAGGCTCAAAGGAGGCCTTCACCAGCTCGAAGGTAAAGGGAAGGAAAAATAAAAGCAATGGATTAAGAAGCAAAGGGTGCCCCAAAGGAGAGCAGCAGGGACTGTTTTGGAAGCTGTAGCAGCTTTAGAGCCATTCTCGGTCAGATCCCAGGAGACAGCCATCATCGAATTAACCTAATGAAGCACAGGATAGCAGGCCTCAGACCAGTGCAGCTGAACACAACCTTCTTGGCAGGCAGAGAAAAGAAATGTCAAAATAAGGCACTGAGGATGGGGGGATGGGGGCTGCATGCTTCTGGGAGAGACAGGAGGAGAAAAGCCTAGCCCGAGACCCTGAAGAAGCCCCCCTTTTTACCCACTTACGCTCAGTCTGAGGATGTGTCCCAGCACGTCACTCTAAAGGCAGCAAGCCACAGAGTATTACCCAAGTGGCATCATGCTTTATGAATCTCTCAGCATCTGGGGGGCCAGCCTCTCATTTGGTATTCTCAGGAGTCCCGGGACTGGCTAACAAGGTCAGCCAGGCGGAAGTGAAGATGCTTTAACGCCACGCCAGGTCGGATGACTTCAAGTCCAATGCTCCTTCCACAGTGCCCTCTGCCTTCCAAACAGGCTTTTCCACTAACTGGGGTACAACCATCTGTGCCCCGGATCCTGCCAGTGTAGCAACCCAGCAAACTCCCTGCCTCCTGGGTGAGGCAACAGCCACCTCTGGCAGAAGGTCCCCTGGGGTGGCGTCAGGGGTGGGGTTGGGGTGTCAGTTACCATCTTGAAAAAGAAACCAAAAGCCCCTCCCTTGCCCACAACTCGAACCCAGTGAGGCACGTCCTTGACCCAAGAACTGGTTGCTTCACCTCCATGTGCTTGGTTAACGGAAGTTATCTGCATTGCAACATCTTGGCACAGACTGCTCAGAGCTATCCTAATGACTCAGACCCTTTCTGCTCCCCAGTTTCAACTCCCTGGGCAGCCCCCACTTCTCTAGCTCCTGCCCTGCTGCAGGACACCTGGCCTCGACTTGATATCCAGCCTGAAATCCCAGCTCTGGCACCTCTGAGGCTGCTCAGCGTTGGCAGCCAGAAAACCAGCAGGCAAAAAGAGCCAAGATATTTCTTCAAACCTAAGATCGTGCGTAACTCGGGGTAACCTTCAGTGAAATCCCAGAGAAATACACCATCAGTCTTCATTGCAAGAGGACCCATGCTGCATCCTAAGAATTGGCCCTTGAGGGGAGGAATGCTGGGCCCTGAGGCACAGGGAGGGGCAGGGGAACAGTTGGGAGGTGGGTCCCTTCAGATCAATCACCTGCTCCTTCAGGAGGGAGCCCATATGCCGTTTGTGTCGGGGTGGGCAGGGGACACTGCTGTCCACGTCTATGCTAAGGCAGGAAGTCTGAGAAAAGTTACCCCAGTAGCTAGACAGGCAGGCAAGATAGAAACAGTTAGGGAGGCTAGGCACAGTGGCTCACGCCTGTAATCCTAGCACCCTGGGAGGCCAAGGCGGGCGGATTGCTCCAGGTCAGGAGTTTGAAACCAGCCTGAGCAAGAGTGAGACCCCGTCTCTACTATAAAAATAGAAAGAAATTAATTGGCCAACTAATATATATAGAGTCTCAGCTACTTGGGAGGCTGAGCCAGGAGGATCGCTGCAGCCCAGGAGTTTGAGGTTGCTGTGAGCTAGGCTGAGGCCATGGCACTCACTCTAGCCTGGGCAACAAAGCGAGATTCTGTCTCAAAAAAAAAAAAAAAAAAAAAGAGTTGGGGAGAGAGGGAAAAGGAAAGGGTAAGGACCAGAGAGCAGTTTACAGAACAGCACCACCAGGGTGGGGAAGAGCCAGTAGCTTCCACTGAGTCCCAGATGCCTGCTGACCAGGTCTCCTCACACTCCACACCATTCACCATTTGCTTTCTCATCAATCTGATAGTCTGTTGTTTTTAAAACAAATACACCACTTTAAGCTAGGTGTGGTGGCTCACACCTGTACTTCTAGCACTCTGGGAGTCTGAGGTAGGAGGATCACTTGAGGTCAGGAGTTTGAGACCAGCCTGAGCAACAGCAAAACCCCGTCTCTACAAAAAAGAGAAAAATCAGCTGGCCATGGTGGTATGTATATGTAGTCCCAGCTACTTGGGAGGCTGAGCCAGGAGGATCGCTGGAGCCCAGGAGTTTGAGGTTGCAGTGAGCTATCATAATGACAGACCAAGATCCTGGTCTCAAAAAAAAAAAAAAAAAAAAAAACCACCTACGAGTTTAATCTATTATACTTAGTATTTGGATTTATGTTACTATCTTACTTTGTGTTTTCGCTACTATTTTTTCTTTGGGTTTTTTCTTTCCTGACTTTTGTTGGAATGGCACTTTGTTCCACCCCCACCTTTTTCTCCTTCCTGCTTTGGAAATTCTATCCCTCTTCTTTTGGTGAACATCTTAAATTGTTAGCACATACACATTTTCCTGATGGAGTCTAGTTTTTCAGGAATGCCATTCTCTTAACAAGGCAGAAACTTGCTGTGACTTAACAAAATTCCTTAATTTATTCTATCTTATTCTCCCCTGATAATATGGTCTACAATTATAGTTTTCTTTTTTTTTTTTTTTTTAAATTAAAAGCCCGTTCAGATGCTGGTTTTCTGTCTGTGCGTTTTGCCATCTGGGGCAGGCACTCCTGGCTGCCTACCAGCGGCCACTCTCTCTCCTTTCTTGCCGTCAGAATCCTGATTTGTTCAGGCAGCTAAGGACCCAGTCCCAGGAGATGATGCAAGACTGGCCAAAGCCAACCACAGCAAGCGTGTTCCTTTTTCACCAGAAATTGGTCTGAAAGTGGACTAGCTCAGGCCAATGAGACCTAAGGAGATTATCTGCTAGCGCTGCCTTGGAAAGACTCTCCTTCCCAAGAAACAGGCACATAAAGAGAAAGCACCCTTTCTCCTGAAATCTCCCTGCCTCCTTGCTTGGGGTGTCACAGGGTCTGGAGCGGCAGTGGCACAAGCAAGTCAAGGGACATCTTATGCCATGAGCATGACAGAACAGAAAGACCCAGGGCTTGTCTTCAGCTACTGCCCCCACCCTGGAGCTTCCTAACCTACACTTCTCATTCAATGTGTCTTACAGTTCAAGTTACTGTGGGTTATTCTGTCACTTGCATCCTGATATACTGGTAGTAGCTCATTAAGCTTACCAACCTAATGTGTCAATTGCTCTGCTCACTGTTGGCTCTGGCAACCTGCTCTTTCCTCCTGGGTTTACTTTTCTTACTGAAGTACACTTCGAGTAGTTCTCTTAGCAAGGGTCTGTAGGTGACAAGAGTCTGAAGATGTCCAGAGATACCTTTATCTCACCTCATTCTTCAATGACAGCAGGATACGGTATTCTCTTACTTTCTCTAAGACATTCCTCTATTATCTTCTGGCATCTAATGTTGATGAGATGTTGTCATTCTAAATCGTCAATCCTTTGAATTCTTTTTTAACTCTGGTAGTTTCCACCATTCTCTTTATATTTGTCTGCAGTTTCACTACATTATGTTCAGTGACATTACTTATCCTGTTTGATGTTCATGCTGTTTCTTTCAGTCTGGAATTCTCAGGCACTCTCTTTTCAAATATTATTTATTTGCCATTTCCTTCGTTCATATTTGGAATTCCTGCTAGACACATGCTAAAGGCTCTCAATCTGTCCTCCATGTGTAGGATGCATTGTAGATGAATTCCTCAGTATTATTTTGAATTCATGAATTCTCTGTTCTCTGTATATAGGCCAGAGTTCTCTATTGCTTCAAATTCTAATGGCACTAGTCTTCATTCCTAGAATTTTTAAAAGGCGTATTTCTATATTCACGTTTTTTTTTTGTTGTTTTTTTTTTAAGAAAGGGTTTTGCTATGTTGCCCAGGCTGGTCTCAAACTCCTGGCCTCCAGGGATCCTCTCACCTTGGCCTCCCAAAGCACTGGGATCCACCATAAACAGTCCCCTTTCTTTTCTTTACTAGATTTAATATTTGCTTATCTCTTTGAGGGTCTTTAATCTCTGTATACTAAAGACACTTTCCAATTCCTCTGTTATTTTCATTTCTTCTACAGTAAATTCTTCTTTGTTCTTTTTTCACATTATTTTTCCTCATGTGTTTCAGCACTTGTGTATGAGCTCATGTCAACATGTCTCTTATATTTTACTTTTCCCTACCTATCTGGGGGTTCTCACATTTGCCTCCCCAGGTCCTTGAGTGCCCCAGGCTAGAACAGCAGCTCAGCTTAGGTCCAGGCTATAAAGTTATGTCTCCTTAAGTAAGCATTGTTAAAATAAGCCATAGCCCCAGGAAATGGTCGGTAGCAGCCTACTTTCCCAGCAGACGGGTTTAAGCAATGTACTAGCTCTAATTCCATGCTGCCAGTGGAGTGCTTTCTAGTTGTTACCCCAAATTTCTGCTTCCAGACTCAGAGACCAGCAGGCCTGCGGCCTTAGCCCTGCTTTCTTTGTATTCCTGTTCCATTTCTCAGCCACAGGGATGTTTATCATTTTGTATGTGGTGGGGAGTGGGAAGAGGGGGAGTGTATGTTTTTAGAATTTTATCTTTTTATGCATTACTGCTATGTGTTTAGAGTATAAATTTACAGTGTCATCTTGACTGGATGAATTGGATTATACTATCCGTATCAGGGAACCAGGGATCTCTGCCAGCGCCAGTCTCTTGGGAACGGGTATCAAACCATCTCTAACAAGATTCATACAGCTCCAGCCAACACAACGAAGGAAGTGGACTGAGATACCCTGGCGTAAGCGGATCAAAAGTCTCAATTAAAACTGCTCTCCTATTCCCACCCCTACCTTCATCCCAGTCTACAGTGGGATTGGGGGCGGGATCTTTCAGATAGGATCTGAGCAGGCCTTCACAGACAAAGGCAACCCCAGCCTTCAGCCCTCCTCCATACAACCTGACCATTCTTTCACCTGCGCTGGTGATAAACGTGTATTGGCCATATAGACATCTGTGATGTACAGCCCCTTCAGACTCTCCTTCAAGTCCCCAGCCTGTCTGCACAGGGTCACCCTGCAGTTTCTCTTTTTTTTTTTGGAGACAGAGTCTCGCTTTGTTGCCCAGGCTAGAGTGAGTGCCGTGGCGTCAGCCTAGTTCACAGCAACCTCAATCTCCTGGGCTCAAGCAAGCCTGCTGCCTCAGCCTCCCAAGTAGCTGAGACTACAGGCATGCACCACCATGCCCGGCTAATTTTTTCTGTATGTATTAGTTGGCCAATTAATTTCTATTTATAGTAGAGACGGAGTCTCGATCTTGCTCAGGCTGGTTTCCAACTCCCAACCTGGAGCAATCCGCCCTCCTCGGCCTTCCCAGAGTGCTAGGATCACAGGCGTGAGCCACCGCGCCCGGCCTCAGCCTGTAGTTTCAATGCACATCATTAGAACTATGGATTCAGAGGCAAAATCTAGTCCAGGCTGTTACCAAGCAGCAAGTTACTTCTAATGTCCAAGCCAAGATTCATTCATTCTTTCTTTCTCCCTTTTTTTTTTTTTTTTTTTTAAAGAGACAGGGTCTTGCTCTGTCACCCAGGCTAGAGTACAGTGGTATGATCATGGCTTACAGCAGCCTCGCACTCTTGGGCGCAAGGGATCTTCCCACCTCAGTCTCCCAAGTAGCTGGGACTACAGGCGAGCAGCCGGGACTACAGTCCCACCACTGCACCTGGCCACACCAAGATCTTTAGCAATCAAAAGGCAGCAATCTTGCTTCGACCCTTTTCCTATTGGGTGATCTGTGTGTTTGTAGCTGCTGACCACCACTTTGACTTCCTAGTTGCTGTAATCTACTTTTTTGAACTTTCTGACCCTTTCTTGCCTATTTCTTCCAGCTGCTAATGCATCCTGAAGGACCTGCCTCCAGTCCTTTCTGCTTCTTTGCCTCTCTACTGTGCACCGCCCCTGCTCAAACCTGAGAGCCTGCCCCTCTAAGCTTGCGTTCTGCATTCTCAATGGCCTCTTGGGCACATCTGCCTGGCACTTCAGACTTAACATACTTCGTCTCCCTGCACTCAAAAGCATATGAGATGGGCAACCTTATTCACAGGGCCAAGGTCAGGCTCTGTCACAGAAATAGCATTCAGAGATCCCCAAACCAGGCCCTCCTCCCAAGCCTCATCTCATCACACCCTTCCCTCTAGGGATCATGAACCAATTTGGATCCCACGCCAAATCTGGCCCACATTTAAGATCCTACACTGCAACTAAAAGACATGTATTTATCTGTCTCCCTCACTTATAAACTCTAAGGGTACAGAGATCTTGTTATTCAATTTACATCTCTGGGCCACTGTAGGGCCCAGCACTGTCCTGCATGCAGGAGGCAGCAGTAATGTTGGCCCAATAGAGTATCATCTCTCCATATAAGCCCAGGGCTATCAGAATCAGAAAAAATAATGGCTATGAAAAAAGGCTTTGAAAACCATTTTTATGAAT